TTGCTGTTCATGGTCCATGTTACCACCAAAGGCCATGTGAATGTCCCTGGTCTGGACTGCTACCTGGAATCATGTTGATGTCCAAGGATTGCATAGAGTTGGCCCCACCCACCCCTTATGGCTGCAGCACTTGGGAGAGCAGGTCCTGCACCTCTCCTGGGCACAGGTGAGCTGGCCCCCAAGGGTGCTGTCATGGCTAGATGCCCCTCCCCCTGCTCCTCATCTGTGTGGGAGAGCGGGCCCTGCACTACACTTCTCCTAGATGGACACAGTAGAGCTGACTCTGTTAGTGAGGTGTGGGTGAGCCTGCCCAAGGGCACTGGGAAAGCTGGCTCCACCCCTTGCTGCCTACAGCAGTGGATGAGCTGAGGTGGTGCTGAAGAGCTTACCCTGGTGGTGAGGATGAGAGAGAGCTTTCTGGCTGACAACTCAGCTACCACCCCTGTCCAGATCCAGGGCTATGAGTTGGCCCACCCCAACATCCACCCCATCTGTGAACTGCCGCAGCACATGAAGGGGCCAGACCTGCAGATCTAAAGCTACAGGGTCTCCATGACAGAGGGCACCATTAGGATAGCTAAGGTAAGTCCCAGTAAGGATCCAGTATAGCAGAAGCCAGAGGACTCAAACTGTACCAGTAATGAACATTTGTAAGTAAAGATGTATGGGCTAAAGGGTGCACTGTGTGACTCACTGTGTACTTTACAGCTTCCATAAGGAGATGTTTTCTTTTTAAATTTTTATTTTATTTTGGGGGTGAGGGAAGATGCAAGGGCAGAGGGCAGATATGAAGGGACAGGGAGATGAGTGGGACTGGGGTGCATGATGTGAAATCCACAAAGAATCAAAATATTCTGGAACCAAGAGACAAACCAGAGAAATGGAAATGTGTAAAATTGCCCCAGGTTCCAAAAGCAGCATTTGGAGTCAGACTTCAAAAGGGCTAATTGTAAAGCAAAAAAAAAAAAAAATTGAAACATGAGGTTACTAAGGAAGACTTAGTCACCAGACCTCTCAAGAATACAACTGAAAATAAATAATTGAAAATAAAGCCAAATTGAAAATAATCTATTGTGAGAGGACGGGAGGGAGGGGAGGACAGAGGAAGATACTTGCTTTATTCCTAAAACTGTTTGGGGATATGTTCTTTCTTTTGAAAATATGTTAGATTTAGAACTTCATACATGTATAAAACACGTTTTGATGATATCTTTCCTCCCTCCATTTTGTTTTTTTGATACAAGATCTTATGTAGCTCAACCTGGACCTTAACTTCTTCAATAGCCTCAAACTACTGCTTCTCTTGCCTTCACCTTTTGTGTTCATAACATTCTAAATGTTTGTTATCAAGAGCAGAATATAGGCATTTTCAAGCATGCAAAGGCATTGCCTTTCTTTCTACCTTTTTCCTCCCATATTTTTTGCTTTCCAAATTCAGCTTTTCTGAATACATTACTTGAAAAAGAATCCAAGGGCTGGAGAGATGGCTCAGAGGCTAAGAGCACCAGCTAGTGCTCTTTTTAACTTGGGGTTCAATTCCCAGCAACTTCATGGTGGCTGACAACTATCTGTAATGAGATCTGGTGCCTCTTCTGGCCTGCAGGCACACATGCAGGCAGAACATTGTATACATAATAAATATTTTAAAAATCCAAAAAATAGACATATATATTAAAAAAACAACCAAACAGAATGAAGCAGCAACACCAACAGGCAAGGTGGTGCACACTGTCATCCCAGCACTTGGAAGGTGGAGGCACAACCCAACTCCATTAAACTGTCACAGAAAGACAAAAACTGGGCCAGAGAAATGGTTCACTTGTTAAGAGCACTTACTGCATTTGTAGAGGATTCAGGTTCAGTTCCTACCACCCAAATGATGTCTCACAACCATCTGTAACTCTAGTTCAAGGGGATCCAATCCTATCCTCTGACCTCCGAGGGCACCAAACATACAAGTAGGGCACACACATCCAAGTAGGCAAAACATATGTGTAAAATAAAAACAAAAATTAAAAAACAATCTCTTGAAACTAAACAAAATTCCCAAACAACAAGACCACTTCACCCTTGCCCGCAGAAAAATAAAGGGGGAAGGGGAGACCTCAATAATATAGCTTTGAAACACACTTGGAGAAATGGGCTCTGTGGTCAGTTTTCTGCAGAGGGTATCCTACACCTGAAGCAGAGCAGCTTAAGCAGTGTGTGTGGGCAGCATGCGGAGGTTAGGGGACTCTCTCCGGGAGTTCTTGCTGTCTTTCTTGCTTTGGAGCAGGGTCTGTCTTGTTTCTGCTGCTTTGATGTGTATGCCATGGCTAGCTAGCTTTTGAGATTTTGGACGATTCCCTTGTCTATCTCCTCTTTCTCATTTTATCAGAGGAACTCTGGGATTACAGATGTATGCCATTGCATCCAGTATTTTTGTGAGTGCTATAGTTTAAGTTCCTTCTCTCCAGTTCTAGGGGTCAGATGTAGGAGGGTCCTCATACATGCTAAGTAACTGCTCTACCACGCACTGATTTATACCTAAGGCCTTTGAAGTTTGAATGTTAAATATTCCCCAAAGATATAAGTAATTTTAATATAAGTATTGAAAGCTTAGTTCCCAGCCCATGACACTGTTAGTAAATGATGAAACCGTTAATAAGTAGATCCTAGAGTGTAGAAAGTCTCTCTCTGTCCCACCAGCAAACTCCCAAATAATGACACAGAGACTTCTTATTAATCATGAAAGCTCAGCCTATAGCTTAGGCTTGTTTCTAACTAGTTCTTATAACTTAAATTAACCCATTTCTATTAATCTATACCCTATCATGTGGCATGTGGCTGTTACCTCTCCTTCTGGGCATCCTGCTTCCTCTGTGGCTGGTGACTTCCCCTTCTCCCAGTGCCTGGAAATCCTGCCTAGCTACTGACCATTCAGCTTTTTATTAAACCAGCCAGAGTGACATATCTTTACACGGTGTAATAAAATATCTCGAAATACTAGTGGAAGTAAGTTGGGTCACTGGGAGTATACCCTCAAAGGGGATATAAGAGCCCGAGTCTCTCTTGTTCCTATCTTTCTCAGCTGCCATGGAGTAAATAGGTTCAAATGTTAGACTCTTTCCATGATACGTTGTGCCAACATGGGCCAAAATAACAATGCCAAGTGATGAGCTCATTTAAGCCTTTCCTCCTTTTAAGCTGATTTTCATAGTGTTTTTTTTTGGTCATAGTCACAAAAATTAACATTTGCTCCCAAGCCTGAAAACCTGAGTTTGATCCCTGCGTGGTAGGAGAGAAGTGATTCCTAAAGTTGTCCTCTGACCTCCACATACATGTCTTGGCATATATGATCATATACACAGCAAATTATTTTTTTAATTAGAAAATGTAAATATACACTTCAGGAAAGGCAGCTCCGTGTGAAAGTCCTAACTCCTACAAAACATGATTATTTATATTATACCATTTGGTTATATGAATTGATGCAGTGTACTGCGGTGTCTCCATACACGTGCACTGTCTACAGAATGTATTCTCACACCCTTTTTAACTTCTCACCCTTACAAAACAAAGTATTTGTAATTATTTCTATGCATGTGTTCATGTGGGGGTATGTGCCCTTGAGTGAAAGTTCCTTCAGTGGTTATCAGAGCCCACACAGGTGAGAGTCCCAGTAAGTGGGTACGAGGAATCAAACTTGTGTCCTTTGCAAGGTTATCACACACCTTAGCTGATGAGCCACCTTACCAGTACCACTACCCTCACTTTTAAAGTTTTCACACAGGAGAGTACACATAATGCTTACCTTTCTGTCACTGCCTTGCTTTATTTAACATGATGCCATCCAGTTCTTTTAACTTTCCTGCAAAGGATAGGACTTCATTCTTTTTGGAGATTGTCCTGAAACTCACTCTGTAGACCAGGCTGGTCTAGAACTCACAGAGATCTGCCTGCCTCTGCCTCACGAGTGCTGGGATTGGCGGGCAGTGAGGCTGATTCCCTATCTAAGTTATCGCCAGTAGTGCTGCCATTAATGACTGATAAAATCATTGCTTCCTAAAGCCACCATCCCAGAACTGAATTCATATGTACTCTGTAGGCCGATTTGTATTTTCCTTTTCTGTGAGTTAATTTATAATAAAATTTTGTGCAACTTAGTTTTCCTGACTTCTCTGATATCTGTAGATTAGATAATTATACCATAATTATCATTAGCTAGTCTGGTATCAAAAACTCATCCTGCTCTTTTTGTTTTGTTTTTGAGAAGAGACAAGGTTTCAATGTGTTTCTCACTGACCTAGAATTCTCTATGTAGACCAAGCTGCCTTTACTCACAGAAATCTTCCTGTCTCTGCTCTTTACTAAAAGGAATTTTACTCTTAAAAATGAGAAGCTCATCACCTAGAAACTTCTAGGCCGAGTAGGCACTTTCACAAAGCCCGGCCTGAAGAAAGTGAGATGCCTCGGGAAACCTGTCAGGAGGGCTCCCTTTATCGGAGTTACTCGGACAGAGTCAAAAGCAATTCTTGGGCTCATCAGCCGAGCAAGCTGGGTTCTGGGGACCACGTCTGAGAGTCTTCATAACATGTAAGGCATGTTTGCTAGGCAACGGGCCGCTTCTACCTGATAAACAAGCGGCTCCGCAGCTCAACTTTTCCGGACGTGGGGCGACCTCCGCTTTCCCTGCGTATTTCCGCTTCTGGTCACATGGCTGGGGTACGGCGGCCGCTCCTTTCCACCCCAACTCCTTCCTACGCCGCAGACCGACACGTCACTCCTCGGTTCTCAACCAAACTGCTCATAGCATTCTCTTTCCGCGCCGTGCGCTCCCCTGCGCCGGCCTATCACGACTCGGTGGGCACCCACTGTCCCGCCTCTTTGTTGGCTGAGTGACATCTAAGATGGCCACTCAAAAAACGAGAACCTGGCTTGGTCTCCGCCTTCGGAATGACAGACAGGACCGTCATCCTATCGTTCCCCTGAAGTGGTCATTGACCCGGTCCAGCCAATGCGGACGGGCAGGGAGGCGGGCCTTGGCTGCTGTCAGGGTTGGGTGCGCCACTGAACGGATGGCAGGGAGAGCCGAGTGGATTCCCGAGGAGCATCCGCCGGGTGAGAAGGGCCTAGGGTAGTGCTTGAGGGTTAGCGGCAGGTGCAGTGCAGGGTGTTGGCGGGCCGAACCAGGTGCGGGAGGCAGGCCTGAAGCGGTGGGGAGCAGAGCCCGCCTGCGGCCTGGTTGAGGAGGGGGCGTGTGATGGGGTGTGGGGACCTCCGGGCATAGGGGCACCGGCGTTCGGAGGAGGGGTCTTGGCAGGGCGGTGCGTTCTGGCAGCGTGGGCATGGGACCCGAAATCTTGGGACTAGCTTGGCGTGTGCTGAGGTGTTGGGGTCGGGTTCAGGGGGTCAGTGCGGTGAGGGTGTGCAGGAGGACGTGGAAATGCTTGTAGGAAAACGGGGCCTCTGAGGCTGCAGCTAGGGTTGGGTCAGGATGTCAAGGCTTGCATGCACGGCTGAGAAGCAGAGAGATGCTGAGCGGATAAGAAAAGCGTCTTTTCCCCTTTCTGTACCCTGTCGGCGTGTGGAAATGACCAGAGATCAGGATGAAAACTGGCAGTACCCGGCTTTAAATTACTAGCCGCCGTTACTCGGTTTTCAAGTCCAGGTTTTAGCACTCTGGCTTCCTCTGCTTACTTTTCGGGTGTGTGGATCGCATCAGCTCAGTGGTGGTTTGTTTCCGTTTCAGCCATCTCCGGAGAACAGCTACAAAACCCAAGAGATGGGACTGAGTTGTTCACTTCCCGGAGTTAGTGCGTGATAAAGCCTCCCCTTTGCAATTATAATTAAATACTGGCCCAAACTGCTCTTCTGGGACAGTTAATTAAAGAAAAGATGTTCGACTTCTCAGTGTGATTCTTCGTATTTTCCATCTAGTTCAGGGTTATTCTTTTCCAACCTTTTATTTTTTTTCTTCCAGTAAAAGGGAATAAGTTAAGTAATAATGCAGTTTTCCTTCTGTATAGTTTTTAACAATATTCTCTGCTGTTACATTCTTTGTCCCTTAGTCCTTAACACAACTCTTGTCTGTAGCTCTTTACCAATCTGAACTGCTTGTGGATTTTTCCCCTCACCACCACTCTTACGTTCTAGTCTGTTTCAGAAGGAAAAAAATTATATTTTCTCTCTACATTATCATCTGCTGTTATGAGCTGCCCCTGGGTCATGGAATGAGTTGTTTAGGGTCAGTTACAGAGATGCCTTCAAACATGATCTGACAGGGAAAGAGATCTGAGCAGTAGTTAACAGCGTGACTTATGTGAAGATGGAAATTCAGTGGGCTGTGCATGCATTCCTCTTGGATTAGGGATCAGCCTGTACTTTAGTTGGCCGGGAAGAGTCCACTCTGGGATTTGGAACAGAAAAAGGTCGTAGCCATTTGTAGTCAATCAACTGAAGCTTAGACTTAGGGCATTCAATCATGATTTCTAGTTTTCTGCTTTCACTTCTGTAGGCCATACTCATTCCCACCTTCCTATCTTCCCTGCTTACCTCCCTCCCATTCCCCCCAGCTCCTGTCCTTTTAAAGGTTTGTATTTTGAGACAGGCTGTCACTGAATTGGTTAGTCTGGTCTGGACCCTTTGATCCTCCTTCCTCAGTCTCTGGGTTAACTCAGATTATAGACATGTTGAGGTAGTATCACTAGGTACCCCTGACTGGCCTAGAACTTGCTGTGTAGATCAGTCTGGCCTGCCTCTGCGTCCCGAGTGCTGGGATTAAAGGTGTGTGTCACCAAGCCTGGTCCTACCCATTTAGTCTCGACACATAAACCTAAAAGTGTTTGCTTCCTTCCTAGTACATCAGTCTTTAGTCAGAGCATGGGAGTCAGTATTAGCTCTAACATCTCTAGTGTTTTTGTAGCTCATATGTACTTTCTGATCTACAATAGAAGATTAACGTTAATTGAAGTAAATTAAGTTAATGTAATTAAATGAAGTACCTATGGTCTTGACTTTCCCCACTTTAGCTGTTTGAATATCATCAGTTACCACCCGTTGATGTCAAGATGACTAAGCTTGGATTTTTGCGGTTGTCCTATGAGAAGCAGGACACACTTCTGAAGCTTCTCATCCTGTCGATGGCTGCTGTGTTATGTGAGTCTATGCATGGGCTTCTCCTTGGAGTTGGAATGATGAAAAAAAAATCAAACATGGATTTTAAAAACATGGCTTATTCTTTTTGCAGATCGCTTTTTGTTTTTTTTACCACTTCTTACTGGTATAATTTTATGAAGACAAAATAAAATAACTGAAGAAATATAAAACAGGGCTGTTGCTCCCTTGGTTCTGTGTTCTCATTGGCTGGAAGAAAGTGGGGGCTGTTGGGTGTTGTATTTTGTGAAAGAATTATCTTCAACTCTGGCGCCTGTAATGGTTGATATTGGCAGTTTGATAGGATCTAGAGTCACCTAGGAGACAAGCCCAGGGCACTACATGAAGAATTATCTGCCGCCTCCCGTCTGTGCTCATAGCTCTCTCATCCTTGGACTATGAGCCAAAATAAACCTATTCTCCCTTCCATTTGTCTTGTCAGGGTATTTATCACAGCAATAGGAAAAGTAACTAGATTGAGGCATAGTTTTGCTATGAACCCAGATGGGCCTCCTTGCCTCCCTCAGCTTCCCAAGGGCTGGCATTGTAAGTGTGCACTTTATTTTTTCCCCCCAGAGACAGGATTCTCTGTAGCTTTGGAGCCTGTCCTTGAATTCACTTTATAGACCAGGCTGGCCTCCAGCTCACAGAACTCACAGAGATCCTCCTGCCTCTGCCTCCTGAGTGCTGGGATTAAAGTGTACCACCACTGTCCAGCCAAGGACTTACTGTTTTTAAAGCTTTCCCAGTGTTTCATGAGTCATAAGTTTATCTCTACTTGACATATCTCTTTTTTTGTTTCAGGATTAAGGTAAGGGGTGTGAGTATATGTAAAAGAGGTCAGTATATGTAAAAAAAAATGGCCAAATTCGATATTAGGCTTTGTGTAATACAACACATAGTTAAGTGTATTCCCATTTAAGTGAAAAATGTAGATAGTTTTGTCAGATTTGTTTCTTCTAGGTGGGGAGAAGTGGATGGAGACTATTCAAGAACTACTCTGCATTCTCTGTGACCCCAGTGCTAGATAATTTTAGTTTCTTCATAGTGTTAGTGCTTATCTTCTGTTGTTTTTTTTTCCCCGCCCCGCCCCTCTTCTGTTGTTCTTTAATGGAATGTTACCAATTGAAATATTTATTCTCTGGATTTTGCAGCATTTTCTACTCGTCTCTTTGCTGTCCTGAGATTTGAAAGTGTTATCCATGAGTTTGACCCGTGAGTACCTTTGCTCTGATAGTTCCTTCTGGAGGTGTTAAAGGTGGTGGGTTTTATAAGTGTTTACATTCTAATCAGTCATCAGTAATGGAGGTGTATTTTGAGTACATTTAAAAAATGATTCCTTCAGGTTTTCCAAGTGAGTCTTGTCAACTCAGAAAATGTAATAATATTTGCTGTTAAGCCTGCTTATGTGAGGTCTGGCTAGGCTAGGAGAAATCTGACTTTTCATTTGGATCAGGGGCAGTAATGTACATTAAGAAAAGAGTCCTGGGATCTGTTTAAGACTAAGACCATCACAAGTCATAAGCCTGAGATCACAACTTCTTTTCCTGTTTATTTATGTAGTAGGAATTGGGCTTATTGTTAAATTAGAAGGCATTGAAAACATTAAAACTATGGGAACTAAGTATTGTGACAAATACCTATAATCCTGGGCTGTATAATGAGATTCTGCCTAAAAAGTATTGAGGAAAACAAAACAAATTAAAAATAAAAAACAAACTGAGCATGGTGGTACATTTCTTTAATCCTAGCACTTGGGAGGAAGAGGCAGGTGGATCTCTATGAGTTCAAGATCAGCCTGGTTTACATAGTGGGTCCCAGGCTAGCTAAGGCTACAAAGTTATCAAAAAACAATAACAACAACAACAATAAAACAGCAACAAAACCAAAACAAAAAATCCCCCAAAACAAACCAAACCAACGTGGGACTGGAGAGATGCTCTATGGTTAAGAGCACATACTGCTTTTGACTACCACTTGTAACTCCAGCTCCAGGGGATCTGAGGCCTCTGACATCCTCAGACATATGCATAAACATATAATAATAAGTCTAAAATTTTGTTTATTATATTGAAAAAGATATGGTGAAACCGTCAGTAGTATTAATAATGGGCGTCATGGTACATGCCTAAAACCTCAGTACTCTAGGATCCAAGAGACAAAAGGATTGTGGCAAGTTAGAGGCCATCTTTGGCCACATAGTAAGTACTAGGCCATCTAGGACTACATAGGAAGACCATATTTCAAAAAACCCTGAAATGGGACAGTGATATGACTCAGTGGGTAAAGGTGCTCGCTGTTAGGATTGAGTGGTGGTGGTGGCACACACCTTTAATCCCAGCACTTGGGTGGCAGAGGCAGGTGGATCTTTGAGTTCCAGGACAGTCAGGACTGTTACACAGAGAAACCCTGTCTCGAAAAAAAACAAGAAAAAAAAAAAAAAGATAAGAATTGAGTTAGATCCCCAGAAGGAAAGAGCTAATTCTCAAAAGTTGTCCTCTACTCTCCACACACATGGCAAGACACCGCCTCTCCCATTCCGCTAAATAAAGAAAACTTTTTTTTTTAAATTTTTAAACCTAACATTTTCTAAGCATCTTTCTTTTTTTCTTTTGAGCACTGTTTTACAGATTGACTTTAAATCCTTAAAACAACCTGGCACAGGTCCATTTTTTTCTGTTGATGAGAAGACTGGGACTGTGTCCGAAGTTACTCATTTACTAGGTGGGAACTTAGATTCGGATTGGATGTGGATTTGTCTGATTCCACAGACTGGGGTCATTGTCAGTATTACCTAAAGTTGAGGCTTATGAAAAATGTAGAAACCAGAGTCAGATTCTTGAGTTATTGTGTACTTAAAAACAACATGTTTATATTTGGTGACACCGCTTAAACAGTCCAAGGCCTATACTTGGTTTTCAGACTTGTCTTGTTTTGTGTAGATCTTTTAAACAATTTGGAGGTATATATATTTTCTTTGGGGAGCTCTGAAATCAATTTATATTTTTTCTCATAAATGAGAAAATTTACTGTGTTGGTTAATTTTGACTGTCACCTTGACTCTAGAGTCTCCTGAGAAATCCTGAGAAAAGAGGCCTTTTTTGTTGTGTGTTTGTTTTTTGAGACAGGGACTTACTTTGTAGCCCTGTCTGTCCTGGAACTCTCTATGTAGTCCAGGCTGGTCTTGAAACTCACAGAGGTCTGCTTTCCTCTGCCTCTCAAGCACTGGAACTAAAAGTGTGTGTCCCACCGCACCAGGCCTGATTAGAGAGTCTTGATGAATTGTCTAGATCAGGTTGGCTTGTGGGGATACTTGTAACCCAGCCCCTTTGTTTTTTGTTTTTTTTTTTTGTTTTTGTTTTTGTTTTTTGTTTTTTCGAGGCTGGGTTTCTCTGTATTGTTTTGGAGGCTTTCCTGGAACTCGCTCTGTAGACCAGGAACCCAGCCCCTTTGTAAGTGGAATCATTCCCTAGGTCCTGAACAGTTTAAGAGAAAGATAGCTAAGAGCAGGCAGGCAGGCAGATGGACTGGCAGGCAGGCTGGCCTGTACGTGTTCATTAATTCTCTGCTGTTCATTATGGATGTGGGCAGCTGTTTCAACTTCTTTGCTAACATGAACTGGAGCCTGGAATTGTGTGCCAAATGCTTGCTTTTCCGCCTGTGTTATTTTTGTCTTAATCTAAGTACATTACTTTTTTTTGTTTTGTAATTCAAAAAAAATTAAAAAATAGTTAAATCATTTCCTTTTTCTTCCCAAACTCCTACCTTTTTTTTTTCAAGACAGGGTTTCCCTGTGTCCTGGAACTCACTCTGTAGACCAGGCTGGCCTGGCCTCAAACTCACAGAGATCCACCTGCCTCTGCCTCCCCAGTGCTGGGATTAAAGGTGTAGATCACCACCGCCTGGCTTACTTCTCTGTTTTTTGTCAGAGTATTTTACCATAGCAACAGAAATAAAAACACAACACTTATATCGTTTTCCTTCTTTTTGAGAGAGGGTTTTATGTAGTTCAGGGTAGCTTCTAATCCACTCTGTAGCTGTCTGAGGATAACCTAGAACTTGGATAGTCCTGTCTCCATCTCCCAAGTTCTGGAACTATAGGTATGTGCCACTATGCCTACATCTTTCTATTGTTTCTTGATTTAACTGTTAGCGCTTCATTCTTAGACCCTCCAGATGAGCAAATACTGAGGTGAGATTGATTATTTCTTTTCTAAGGAGGAACCATGCCCAGAGCTTGACCCTCATGCTTAGAGGTTGACCCTCGTCCACTAATTTAAACTTCCTCTTTGTTAGTCTGCTTCCTACTGGTAGGTAGTGGACATGGTTACAATACATGCCCACTGCCTCCTAGAACCCTGTATCTCTTGACAGTTACCAAAATAACATTTCTTTATGAGGAACAGAAGGATAGAGCTTATGCCATCTGCTGCTTCTCCTTACCCTAACTGCCAAAACTTGACTAACCAAGGAGAAAAATAGTGTTAGGAAGGTAGGCTGGGAGTGACTCTCCATAGTTGGAGACCCCATTTATTTCTTTGGTTTTGTTCCACCTCTCTTCTTTGTCATTTAGGGAATTGTTTACACAGCCTGGCTCTAAAAAATTATTTTTCCATGTATAGTTCTTAACATTTCTTGTCCAATACTTTTTATGTAATGTATAATGTTACGTTGCAGTGTAGGTGGTTTTCAGACATACTTGGGATAACATGAGTGGACCTTGTTAGAAGTTTAAACATTCATTAGGAAGTTCTTGTTATCATGTGGGTTAATTTTTTCCCGTCATGCATATGGTGTTATACCAATATCTTTATAGATGTTCATTACTTAAAGGTATCCATGTGTTCTTGTATGTGATAGAGGAACAAAATATATTTTTGTCACTTGAAAAAGGTCAAACCTCATGCTTAAGAGGTCTTGTCTTCTGGGTGCTTGAATTCTTTTGCTGGCTTTATTTTCTATCACAGACTAGCCTGCTGAAATGTGCTGTTTGAGTGCTTTGTATGAACATCAAGTTCATTTCCTTCAGAGAAAAGCAGTGCTTTAATTGATACAGGTGTAGAATAGAAGTAGACACTTAAGTTATTATAAATGATTTTCATGACATAATTTTTGGTAATAAACTTTATTCAAGTAATGCTGTGTTCCTTAGTGGCACAGTCTGAAAACCAAGCTCTTTGCAAAGTAGGTCACATTTGAGTACAGAGATGTGAAGGGACTTGATGCTTTTTCTTTCTTGTTCTAGGTACTTTAATTATCGCACTACCCGGTTTCTGGCTGAGGAGGGGTTTTATAAATTCCATAACTGGTTTGATGACCGGGCCTGGTACCCTTTGGGCCGAATCATTGGAGGAACAATTTACCCAGGTGAGGGGACAGGATTTGTTGTGTTTGTAAGGACAGTGTGGTGTTTATGTGCTGTGAAACAACTTTATTTCTGTTTGTTTCATTTCAGGATACTTGTAATTTCACTCTGAGTATAGATTTCCAAAAGTGGATCTTATGGAGAACATGTGTGGGATAGTGGAGATGTGAGGAGGGGGGATGTCTTACACATTCTGCATAGAATCTTTACAGAGAAGTGTATAAACCTAATACAATTGCTACGATACTATCTTTAGTGGTTTGTTAAGACCTGGGCTGTTACTCTATTGAAATTTGGATTGACATTTTTCTTTTTATTTTCTTACCAGGACAACCTAACCGGCTTGCTTTTTCCTGTTTCAGGCTTAATGATCACCTCTGCTGCAATCTACCATGTACTTCATTTTTTCCACATCACCATTGACATTCGGAATGTCTGTGTTTTCCTGGCTCCTCTCTTCTCCTCCTTCACCACCATCGTTACATACCACCTTACCAAAGAGCTCAAGGTAAAGGAGCTGAGTGACAGGAAGCTTGGGACTGACTCAATGTGGTTGAGTCTCTAGTAGATGCTTAGAAGGTTGGAGGAGTTGAGAGCCATAGAAAGTCAGGGAGTGATGTGACACAGGGGATATGTACAACATCTCTTCACTCCAGTTGGGAACCAATGACAGACCAAAGTAGGATACCCCCAAAGTTAAATTTGGTGAACTGATAAATTTTTGTTGGGGTTACTTAAAGGAATATGGGTGAGGAGTTACTTAAAAAAGCAGAAATGACTCAAAATGACAGCTACATCACGAAAAACCTACCTCAGCATGAGTGACAGTTCACAAAAGCCTACCTCAGCATGAGTGACAGCTCACAAAAACCTACCTCAGCATGAGTGACAGTTCACAAAAGCCTACCTCAGCATGAGTGACAGCTCACAAAAGCTGCAATGTCAGAGCTTACTGCATGACTTGCAACAGTTTGTCATATTGGAGAGTGTCTCTTCCAAGAAGCTCTGTTTGGGCCTCTTCCATGAAGCTTAGTGGATCTGAGCCCCTTCAAGGCTGCTGTACTTGTCTGAAAGTGTCTCTGAACAATTTTTACTATTTATATAAAATGGGTAGCCAGGGGCCTAGTGAATCTGGTTGGTTTCAGGGACTTCCTAAAGCTGTTGAGTTGTTTACTTTCTCAGGATGGAATACTTCCCTTTATAACAGGTTCGTAACCTGTTGGTTGTGACTCTTTTTGCAAACCATAGCCAAATTAAAGTTATGAAGTAGCAATGAAAATAATTTTATGATTGGGGGTCACAACAACATGAGGAACTGTATTAAAGAGTCGTAGCATTAGGAAGGTTGAAAACTCACTGTTTTAGAACATCCTTAGTCTTAAGGAGCTTCCCTTTAGGGTGGCTTGTTAGAACTTGAAGAAAACTGTTACACAGTGGGGAGCCAGAGATTAAAGACAACATTTATTGAACTGAATCATTGGAGAATATATGCTTTATTATCATTTGCTGCTGTTTGCCCCTTTAAGGGCAAATTGCTGTGTAAAGAAAAAAAGCAACAGTTAACATGTAAAATTGACATGTTTAGATTTTGAATTCCTGGGCTGGAATGATGGCTCAGCCATTAAAGGCTAGGCTGACACCAAAAATACAAGATTTTGAATTCCTCACCAATGTATGGAAAGAAGGGGATATAAAATACGTGTTTTCAATAGTGGTTATTTCTGTCGGAAATAGGCACTTAGTAATTATTTGTTGATACATTTAAAAAAAGTTTAGAAATCCTTAAGCATTTTGGCTTGATCATGCTGATTCCCTTCCTAGGTTTCTTTGGACTCTTATTTTGTGGCTGCAGTGTTAGGGATGTACCGGAGAGGTGACAGTCTAGTAGGGAAGCCAGTTTCAGTTTGGAAGACTTTTTATCCTTCAGTGTGATGATAAATAAACAAATATCTTTATTTACTTATTTATTTACTTTTTTGGATATTTTATTTTGTTTCTCTTTTTCTGACCTTAAAGGTTGTTTGGTAACCCTCCAACTTTATGGTCTAAGTTTCTGACATCCTCAGTCTGGGTAAATTGTCATTTTTTTGAGACAGGATTTTCCTATGGAGCCCAGGCTGACCTCAGAATTGCTATCTTCCTGTCTCCACTTTCCAAGTGCTGGGATTACATATGTTTGCTATCATGCCCAGTTCTTTGTTTTCTTTTAAAGTTAAATGATAACTTATTCTTTTGTTGTTGAACTGGTGATTTTGTGATGTGTAGTCACTGTTAGAGGAGGGGACTAATAAGTCTGGTGATACTTGTAGCTTTACATTCTGATGCAAATTTTGGGTTTTATTAAATTAATTTTAGACAGGGTCCTGACCCCAAACTCAGAGACTTACCTGCCCCCTACCCCCTGCTCCTTGCCCCTGAATGTCTGATCTTATTTAATTCCACCATCTTCCAAATGCTGGGATTATATAGGCATGCGCCACCATGCTTTGTTTATAAGTTGCTAGGGATCAAACCAGGGCTTCATGCTTGCTAGGCACATATAAATACTCTGTCAGCTGAGCTATATCTCTAGTTACTCTCCTCCTACTCATTTTTTTGTTTTTAGAAAGGATCATGCTGTTTAACCCAGGTTGGTCTTGGGTTTGTAATCTTCTTGCCTCAACCTGCTGAGATTTTAGGTCCTTTCCATTATACCTAGCAGCTCATATGATGTCTCAGCATATTTGTGTTAGATTTGTTGTCCTCATTTGGAATCGACTATCAAGTTTCGGGCTTTGTTGTGCTGGGTGCATTTCTAGCATCTAATATTGACCTTGGAGATTTTTGAATGCTGTCTGGGCCCCTTATAAACAGAATAGACTAGTAGGTCCTCAGTTCTCTTAGAGGTGTATCCATGTTAACTTCTGTTTTTAACAGGATGCAGGTGCTGGGCTTCTTGCTGCTGCCATGATTGCCGTAGTTCCTGGTTATATTTCTCGATCTGTAGCTGGCTCCTATGATAACGAAGGTAAGATTTAGAATGTTGAAAAGGATTTTTTTTTTAGACATGGTTTCTCTTTATAGTCCTGGCTGCCCTGGAACTCTGTCTTTTTCTTTATATCTATGATATAGCAATTGATGGACATTAAGATTGTTTACATTTTTTGGATTCTTTTTTTTTTTTACACTTTTTTTTGATTGATTTACTTTTTATATTCCAATCCCAGTTACCCCTCCCTCTTTTCCTCCCACTCCCCCCACTCTCCTCTTCCCATTTGTTCCAGGGAGATGGTAAGGCCTCCCCTAGGAAGTCTAGGTCTGTCCCATCATCTAGTTGAGACAGGACCAAGGAATATCTCCATCCCTACACCCCTGTGTCTAGGCTGGGCAAAGTAACTCTCCATATAGAATGGGCTCTGCTAAGTCAGTTTGTGAATTAGAGTTAGATCTTGGACCCACTGCCAGTGGCCCAAGTCACACCGTTGTCCCAGTCACACCGTTGTCACTTAAATTAAGGGAGTCTAGTTTGGTCTTACTGGACCCCTCTTTTTAGACCAAACTTGCCTTGAACACATAAAGATCTGCCTGCCTCTGCCTCCCAAGTGCTGGGATTAAACTCATGTGCCACCATGCCTGGCATGTGCTGAAAGGGATGTGTTCATTTTATTATCTACTGTAATTTCGTAAGGTGCTGAATTTGGGATCATCTCTATTGCGTAGCAATAATAAAACTGGACTTGGTGAGAAGATTAGAAATAGGCAGGAAGGGATCTTGGGCAAAATACTCTCCTAGAGAGGAATCTAGGAACTTTAAAACATTAATACCTGTTTAGTGTGTTTACCTACATGTATGCTTATTCTTGCTTTTATGTCAAAGTCAGAGGACAACTTGTAACTGTCAGATCTCTTCTATCGTGTGATACCCAGAGATTAGACAGCAAGTGCTACCTGATCTAGATGAGCAATTTCATCAGCTCTTGCTGGGAACTTCCTTTTTTTTTTTTTTTTTCTGAGACAGAGTTTCTCTGTATTATTTTGGAGCCTGTCCTGGAATTTACTCTGTAGACCAGGCTGGCCTCGAACTCACAGAGATCCACCTGCCTCTGCCTCCTGAGTGCTGGGATTAAAGGTATGCACCACCAACACCCGGGTGCTGGGAACTTCTTAACAGGCCTTTGTTTACTCTCGGGACTCACACTTAACTGTTATTTTAACATTGTGATCATTGTTCTTAATTTTCCTAGTGCAAGTGTCTTTAAAATTACAGTGACTTTTATTGACATATTTTTGTTGAAACATATTGGAAAAACATAATGTTCGGTATTATAAAGATAGATAATAAATTATTTTGTTCTATACTTAAGAAATTTAAGGGATATATAATAGATGTCCCATAATCTGTTAACGAATATAATAATGGATCTGTATAAGTAGCTCTAGATGAGTATGGTTGCTTATACCTGTAATCCTGGCACTTAAGCAGGAAGATGAGCTCAAGGCCATCTTTGACTATATAGTGATTTTAGGTCAGTCTGGAATACATGAGACATTGTTCTAGAAAGTAAAAACAATTAAAAAAAAATCTCAGTTCTGGCCTGATGTTTACATTGCTGTAATACTAGCATTCAAAGTGAAAGTAGAAGATGTTGAGTTCAAAATCCAGTCTGGGTTTCATAGTGAGTTTGAGTCTAGCTTTGGCTACATAGTGAATTTCAGGCGAGCCTTTGCTACTCAGCACAAACAAACAAAAAAACCAAACAACAGCAACAAGGTAAAGCCCTCGAACATTGTGCTTTGGGGATGTCTTGTAAAGAGAAATTAATTTGGTCTTGGGGATCAAAGGAAAGCTTTTTGGAAGTTGATCTGGACCCACATTAGGTAATTCACGAGGCAGTTTTTCTCCAGGGTAGTGGTGGAACTGTGGATTGAATTTAGGGCTTTGGGCATATTAGACAAGTGCTTTGCCCCAGGTCATCTATCAGTCTACTGTTAAGGTTAGCACCATTCTTGGTAAAAGGTCTGCCTTTATTAACATGCATATAGCCTTGCATATACTTAAGACTAGCTGGAAATTTAATACCTACAAATAATGTTCTGGCCTATGTTTACCAGTTGCTTTCTATATTCCAGTAACTATTCCAGGTGCTTTATGTGCACTGCATTTTCCTTTACAATGATTTTAATAAGTAGATATTTACTGTAGACTCTGTGGACTGGAGATACAGCTCTGCAGATAAGATTTGCCTAGCATGCATGAGGTTCTGTGTTTAATCCCCAGCACCAGGGGAAGAAAATTATATTCATCTTACAGGAAGCAAAGGCAAAGGCAAATAAAATAATTTGCCTAAAATTACACTTGTATAAATAGTAGTTTAGAAATGTGTGTTCCAGACTGTGTTCTTTTTTTAAAGATTTATTACTTTTTTTTTTTTTTTTTCAAGACAGGGTTTCTCTGTGGCTTTGGAGACTGCCCTGGAACTAGCTCTTGTAGACCAGGATAAGTCTCGAACTCAGAGTGATCCGCCTCTGTCTCCCAAGTGCTAGGATTAAAGGTGTGAGCCACCATCACCCGGCATGATTTATTACTTCTAATTATATGTATGTAAATGCAGGTGCCTGAAGAGTAAGACTTGTGTTACAGGTGGTTGTGAGCCACCAAATGTGAGTGCTAGGAACCCAGTTTGGTTCTTTGGCAACAGCAGTGTTTGTTCTTTGTAGAGTGTAGCCTTCCTTGCCAGCCGCCTAGGCCCTTCCACAGTTGTAGTCCCCAAATAACACACAAGACACTGTATTAATTATGAAGCTGTTGGCCATTTGCTTGTTTCTTACTGGCTAGCTCTGACTTAAGTATTTAACCCATAATTGTTAATCTAAATATTTCTCTTACCGGAGAAAGGGTCTGGACCTCTTACTCCTATGGCAGTTACATGATGTCTCTCTGTATCTCTCTTTCACAGAATCTTCCTCAACTCCTAGTCCCACCTATCTTGTTTCCCTAATGCTTTATTCAAACCAATCAGACACTTTTTTTTTTTGGTTTTTACGAGACAGGGTTTCTCTGTATTGTTTTGGAGGCTATCGGTCCAGCCCGGCCTCGAACTCACAGAGATCCGCCTGCCTCTGCCTCCCGAGTGCTGGGATTAAAGGCGTGCGCCACCAACGCCCCGGCAACCAGACACATTTTTACAGAATGACATCTCCCAACAGTTCTTAACCACTGAGCTGTCTTCCAGTGCCTAGATTTTTTTTTTTTTTTTTTTTGGTACAGAGTTTCTCTGTGTAGCTCTGGATGTCCTGGATTTAGTTCTGTAGACCAGGCTAGCTTCAAACTCAGATATCTACCGCCTGCCTCTATCTCCTAAGTGCTGGGGTTAAAGGCCCAGCTCCTAGAAATGTGTTCTTGAACCTGTGTCAGTGTGGCTTCTGAATGTCTTGTTTTCTGCAGGAATTGCTATCTTTTGTATGCTGCTTACTTATTACATGTGGATCAAAGCTGTGAAGACTGGTTCCATCTATTGGGCTGCCAAGTGTGCCCTTGCTTATTTCTACATGGTAACTATACACGTGTATTCTCTGTGTCTCTTTGTCTTTCTCCTTTTCTTTGTGCAGGGGCTTGAGCTCAAACTGGGGATCTGATTTACTGCTGACCTACTTCTCTACAAATTTTAATTTAAAAATTTTCTTGCCTCCCCCTTCCAAGTTCTTTCTGAGATGGGGGTCTCATGTATCCCAGGTTGGCCTCAAACTCTATGTAGTCGAGGATGTCTTCTGATCCTCCTGCCTTTATTTCCTGATAGCTGGGATTACAGAGGTGTACCACAATACCTGGATTATACAATGCTTGGGATTGAATTGAGGGCTTCGTGTATGCTAGGCAAACAGTCTACCAACTAAGTTATATCCCTAGCCCTCTTTTTTTCGGTCTGGTAATTAAAAAGGTTTTCAAATTCTGTATTACTGTAATTCAAATGGGTACATTTTGGTTGTCCCATATTTTTGTTATATTCCCCTTAAAAATTTCCTTTTCTAAGACAGTCTTTTTTTCTATGTAATTTTACATCTGTCTCTTGGCTTTCTTTACTTTTCTGCTTCTACTTAGATTCTGTGTGTAACACTATAATTGGCATCTAGGTTGACATTGTAGCTTGGTCATCTTTTTTTTTTTTTTTGGTTTTTTCGAGACAGGGTTTCTCTGTGGCTTTGGAGGCTGTCCTGGAACTCACTTTGTAGACCAGGCTGGCCTCAAACTCACGAGATCTGCCAGCCTCTGCCTCCCAAGTTCTGGGATTAAAGGCGTGTGGCACCAACGCCCGGCTTAGCTTGGTCATCTTATGTGTCACATTATCAGGATAGTGTGAGTCCTGCTTAAAGGGACTGTTTTCTGTCTTCTCACAGGTCTCTTCATGGGGAGGTTATGTGTTCCTGATCAACCTGATCCCTCTTCATGTCCTGGTGCTAATGTTAACAGGCCGATTTTCTCATCGGATCTATGTAGCCTACTGTACTGTTTACTGCCTAGGTACTATTCTTTCTATGCAGATCTCCTTCGTGGGCTTCCAGGTAAGCCTGAGGCTTTGTAGAGTTTTCAGCAGCCAAATGTTTCTAAGTAGCTCCAGCTAGATTATCTTAGGTTAGAGTTTTTAAGAATATGAATTACAGTTTTTATTTTGGGCTTGCTTACTAATTAAAACAACAGAATTGTTGGTTATGAGTCTGCTTCTACTACCACATCAATATGTGCTTGCATGCTGCTGAATTTAATGACTCTTTGGCTTAGGGTTCTGTGAGGAGAAGGGCCAGTTTAGCTAAGCAGGGTTGATTGGAGTGATCAAAGTTACAATTTCAAAAAACTTTAAAATTCCAGCCCTTTTAGTGGAAATGACCCCATTTAATAGCAGTGAACCCTGGTCATTGTAATGGGGCATTAGGTGAGCCCTTGAGGAAGCACAGCGCAAACCTTTTACCCAGGTTATTATGTACAGTTAATAGGAAATTGTGTTTTAGGTTTCTTTTGTAAAGTTCTCATCTTTACTTAGAGATAAGCAAATACTTTTAGTCACATAATATATGAAATTTGCTATTCTCTGGAAGATGTAGGAGAATGTTAAGTGATATGTTAGTCCTTGAGGAAGTTGAAGAAAGAAATATACATAGTTATCCATAGTCTAGTCCATAGTTCAGTAGTTCTAGAAAGTTGTTTTCAGAACGTTAACATTAATAGTGTCTGGACACATGTTAGAAATGCACATTCTGTAAAAGAAGGAGGATTAAGAATTCAAAATCATCCTTGACTTTAGTCAAGTTCAAACTCAGCCTGGTATGCATGAAACCCTGTCTCAACAAACAGATCAGAACAAACAAAAAAAGTACTCAGATCAAACCAAGCAAGTGAAATAGCAGAAGAGGCCTGCTGAATTAGGGACTCTTGCGTGGGGCTTAGCCACCTACTTTAACGTTTCCATTGGTTATGATGCCCACTAGAGTTAGAGAACCACTGTCTATGGAAAAGAGTAATTATATACTAAAGAAAACACATAGAAGAAGCCATTGATTTGTCACATTGGAGGGTTACACTGAATTTTAAATGATGAGTTTTAATGAAAGGGAATTGGGGGAAAATTGCAGTCCACACTAAGGCAGTAACCAGAGCAAATGGCAAAGATGTGATTGTGATGGTGTTTGGTATGCTTTGTTAGACTTTAGACAAAAGAAATCTGTTTGGTAAATGAAAGCCTCCTTGTTCATTTTGGAACTTTAGAACTTATTTGACTCCTTGGGCCAAAGTAGATCGGGAAAATGCCAGTCTTGGATGAACTCATTCTGTTTGTTTGTTTTAGTTCTGAATATTACCATATATGATTGCCCTCTTCCCTGCAGCCTGTCCTTTCATCAGAACACATGGCAGCCTTTGGAGTATTTGGTCTCTGTCAGATTCATGCCTTCGTAGATTACCTGCGCAGCAAGTTGAATCCGCAGCAATTTGAAGTTCTTTTCCGAAGTGTTATCTCCCTGGTTGGCTTTGTCCTCCTCACTGTGGGAGCACTTCTCATGCTGACAGGTAGAGGAGCATGCCTTTTACATATGGACACAGATTCTCTCTTCTATTTCTCTCATTATTTAAAGCACTGAAGTTAAGTACTTAAAAAAAGATTAATTAATTTTAGGTGTATGGGTCTTTTGTCTGCATATATGTCTGTGTACCACACCTGTGCCTGGTCCCTGAGGAGACCAGAAGAAGACATCAGATCCCCTGGAACTGGAGTTGCAGACAGTTGTGAGCCACCATCTAAGTACTGGGAACTGAACCCACATCCTCTGCAAGAGCAGCAAGTGCTCTTAACTACTGAGCCATCTCTTCAGCATCAAAGTCCTACTTTGCAAAACATTCATTCTGTTTGTCAGCCGTTTTGGATTCAGCTTGGCAGAGTGTCTTTGTAGAGCTGCTAACAGGACTGTTGAGGCTTGCCAGTCTTTACAGTTTTCTTTTTCTAATTGGTTGGCTTATAGAAATTCTCAAATTCTTTGTCATACTTTAAGTCATGGCACTCATCTCATCCTATGGAAGTTAAATCATGGCTATTTAGTTTAGTTGATATTCTCCTTTGTTTTAAACTTACACTTCTCAGAAGCTAATTTGATTTTTGTAATTCATAGTAGTATGGAAGACCTAGTTCACGTAGATTCTAGAGTTGGTCTTGACTTATTGATTTGATCAGATTAAGTCTAAGATCCTCCTTTTCGGTAGGCTTCTCTGAACCCTCTTCCCCCTGTGAATTTATATATAGCCCAATTATTATGTTGACAAAAATACTCTCAAGTTTGAAAGGAGTAAAACACTGTAAATATTACTGATTGTAATAAACCAAAACAGTGCTTTTTTTTTAATCTCAGAATTTTCCTGAAATGCAATGTTGTGGATAAAAGTGTTTTTAGCGTAATCCTGCACTAGTGGGGTGAAGTGGGCAACTGAGACAGTACAGTCACTGAGAAGCTTGGAGCTTAGTTAGTCTGGAATGTGCAGAATGTGTGGCAGAAACAATAAGGAGATCCTGCCTCAGACAAGGTGGAAGGCAAGAACCAGCTCCATGAGTTGCCCTCTTACTTCAGCACTGCTGTACACACTAAGACACACTCCATAGGCACACTAGTAATACAAATAAAGTGGGATGTTGTGATTACTTAGCATTTTAGCTTAATGTTTTAGAACTATATGTGAAGTATTTATTGCCTTTTCTTCCAGGAAAAATTTCTCCCTGGACAGGGCGTTTCTACTCATTGCTGGATCCTTCTTATGCTAAAAACAACATCCCCATCATTGCGTCCGTGTCTGAGCACCAGCCCACAACCTGGTCCTCCTACTATTTTGATCTGCAGCTCCTCGTCTTCATGTTTCCAGGTCTGTCTTGCATTTTGAAGTGACCTTTGTATGAATCATCCTTTGGTTCCAAATATGTTAGCTACCCTCATCCTTTTTAAACATATATTTTTTTGTTAGGCTTTTTAAAAGAGACCAGAAGAGGGTGTCCAATACCCTGGAGATGGAGTTATAAGCAGTTGTGAGCTGCCCCATGTGGGTACTTATACCTAGTACTCACAGCATATTCCTTCCCCCTTTACCCAGTTTTCTTCTTGGCTATATTGAAGTTCTATGTTGAGGTTTTATAGTTAATGCCATTTTTATATTATAAAAACAATAGAGATAAGTTAAATCACACAAAAAGTATATTTTCACTGGTCCTTCCACAATTAAAATTTTATTTATTTATTTATTTATTTTCACAATTAACATTTTAAATTAGATGCAGTGATGAATGTCTGTAATTTTTGTATTTGGAAGCCGGAGACAAGAGAATTGTGAATTTGAGTTCGTTCAGGGCTATATAGTGAAACATTCTCACAAAGCTTTAACTAAAACCCATTTTCAGTATTAACTAATTTTGAGATAGAGTTTATTGGGTATTTGTGTCTAACATGGAACTTGCTGTGTAGGGCAGGCTGGCTTAAAACTTACAGAGATCTGCCTGCCTCTACATTTCTTGCACTTTCTGGGATTATAGGGACATGCCACCACACCCAGTCTCAACAACTTGTCTTAATAGGTACATTCACCTACTTGTTGAGTGTGAATGAGATCATTTGGTATTTTTCTCCCAGTCGTAGTAAAGAACAATGATTAGACACAGGGCTAGGACTGTGTCAGGGGTGGGACACTTGCCTAACATGACTGAGGCAAGTTTCAAAATTTCTGCTGATTTAAAATTTATGGAAATATTTTTTCATTTATAGAAGTGTGTAAAGATGTAGAAGAGGAAAGGGAGCTGTAACTTCTTATAGCAGTATCTTAATGTATTTTATACTTAAAATATGGTGTAATTAACCCTCCCTTATATTAGACATATCGATTATTTGTGGTTGTTTGGTATTAAGAATACTATGGTAAACATATTTGAACAATTTTATTTAGATAGATTCCTAGGATTACTGAGGTAAATGTGTGAAGTCATTCAGTCATATAATGAAGATATTTTCCCTTATAGGTTTCTGTCTTCAGAGCTCAGCTGCTTACTTTTCTTTCCTTCTTTTGTAGTTGGCCTCTATTACTGCTTTAGTAACCTGTCTGATGCTCGGATTTTTATCATCATGTATGGTGTGACCAGCATGTACTTTTCAGCTGTAATGGTGAGGAATTCCCTCAGTTCTAGCCAAACTTTATCCCTGACTCTGAGGTGCTTTCTTGTTTGTTCTTTTTTGCTTGGCTGAATTAAAAAAATACTGGTGATTATGCAAAGCTGCTTACTGTTGTTAATCTTTGTTTTGGAATACACAGACAATTATATTCTGTTTGTGGGGTCTAATTTTCTTGAGTTCATAGCCTTGTGTTAGGCACTTTTGTACTTCATTGAATTTGGAGCAGATTAAAGAAAAATATTTACATGGAGCTGGAGCTACAGGCAGTTGTGAGCCACCTGATGCTGGAAACCAAATTCTGGTTCCCAGAGAGACAGAAGCTTAACCACTAAGCCAACTCTCCAGCTCCTGGAGTGTGGATTTTTTAATGTTAAAGCCTAGAGAGTACTGCCTACTGCTTGGTTAAGATAGAGAACGATTTTATGTAAGGTACTAATATATTTCTTACACTATTTTGAAATTTATTATTATTATTTTGGTTTTTCAAGACAGGGTTTCTCTGTGTAGCAGTCCTGGCTGGCCTGGAATTCACAGAGATCCTCCTGACTCTGCCACTTTGGCCTTGCTTTTGAAACATTTTCATTTTATTTATTTTTATGTGTATGGGTATTTGTCTGAATGTACGTCTGTATACCACTCTCAGAGTCCAGAAGAGGGAGTTGGATCCTCTGGGACTGGACTATAAACTGTTGTATGTGCATGTTAGTGAAGGTGCCATGGAGGCTAGACACAAGCTATTGTGAGCCACCCCATGTGTTTGCTGGGAACTAAACTCAGTTCCTCTGCAGGAGCAGTAGATGATCTTAAGCCACTGAGTCATCTCTTCAGCTCCAACGATTATCATTTTTTATGTTTACTTATATGTATGTGTTTGTGTCTGTGTGTATGCTACATGCTAGTAATGTTTCCAGAGTCCAGAAGAGGGCATCAGATCTCCTTGAGTTGCCTAATGTAGGTATTGGGAACTGAACTCCAGTCCTCTGGAAAATCAATATGTGCTCTTAAACTGCTGAGCCATCACTCCAGCCCTTGCTTTGGCTTAACAACAAAAAACAAACAACAACAACATAAAAAACCCTTTTACTTATGTGTATATGTGTACATTCATATGTGCAGGTAGAGGTTCCCACAGAGTCAGGAAGAGGATGACAGATCTGGAGATCTAGGCAGTTGTGAACTGTCCAACATGGGTAAACTTAGGTCCTCTAAAGAGGATGTATGTGTTCAGAAGCCACTGAGCCATCTCTCTAGTCCTGGCCTTAAATGTTTAATTCTTCTTTCTTAGCATCTTGATTGGTGGAATTGCATATTTGCACTGCAACTGACTCAACTCCAATTTTCTAGTTTGATTTTGCTGAAGTAGAATATTTGTTTAAAATAGCTGAATTGGTGTCATAGTCAGTCTATTAATAGATTGAGGTCTTGTCATTTGTGAAAGACTGATTATACTAACCCTGTTTCTTGTACCTTTCAGGTGCGTCTGATGCTGGTGTTGGCACCTGTTATGTGCATTCTTTCTGGCATTGGTGTCTCCCAGGTGCTGTCCACATATATGAAGAATCTAGATATAAGTCGCCCAGACAAGAAGAGCAAGAAGCAACAGGATTCTACTTACCCTATTAAGAATGAGGTGAGAGTTGGCTTGAGAAAGTGTGCGTGTGTGTGCCTGTGTGTGTTTGAGAGGGTTATTAGAGCAATGTCTTGGGTTGTCAGAATTAGCTTGTGCAGCCCGACATATTTTGATCTCACATAAGAAGCTGTGTTTGGTTTACTGTACAATTCTGAAGGCGGAGTTTAAACAATTCTTTCTTCTATAGGTGGCAAGTGGAATGGTGCTGGTCATGGCCTTTTTTCTCATCACCTACACTTTTCATTCAACCTGGGTAACCAGTGAAGCCTACTCTTCTCCATCCATTGTACTGTCTGCCCGTGGTGGAGATGGCAGTAGGATCATTTTTGATGACTTTCGGGAAGCATATTACTGGCTTCGTCACAATACTCCAGAGGTAAAATTTGAGAGGAGTTGGTTGGATAGTGGTGAAGTCACTTGATATTGTAGTGAATCTGACATATTTAGATGGATAGGAAGCTTAGAAAAATTAGAAATTTAGAAACTCAGTTTTTAATAAGCTTTAAAGACCAACCTCCATGGAGCTTGTCTAAAGTAATGCTCTCAAGCTGTGAGTCGTGGCTCCCTTGGCAAACTTCTTATCTCCAAAAATATTTATATTACAATTCGTTCATAACAGTAGCAAAATTACAGTTATGGAGTAGCAACAAAAATAATTTTATGGTTAGGATCACCATAACATGAAGTGTCTTAAAGGGTTGAAGCATTAGGAAGGTTGAGAACTGCTGTTCTAGAGTATCTCTTAAATTCTGGATTCTGTTTCACACTTACATTGATATGGCAGTGGTTTTAATATAAGGTAGATCAACCCTGTTACAGAAGAAGAAAATGTTAAATATGTTTGCTATAAAAAAAAAAGCAGCAACTAGAATCAGAATCAAGGTAAACAGTTACCACCTAATAATAATATTTGGGCGTTGGTGGCGCATGCCTTTAATTCCAGCACTTGGGAGGCAGAGGCAGGCGGATCTCTGTGAGTTCAAGGCCAGCCTGGTCTACAGAGTTCCAGGACAGGCTCCAAAGCTACAGAGAAACCCTGTCTCAAACAAACAAACAAACAAACAAAACAACAACAAAAAATTTAACATCGGAAGTTATGTGTTTTGAGGCTCTGAAGTGATTTCTTTTGTTGTAGCTATTGGAAATAGTATTTCTAATTTCTGAGTTAGATTTGCTAAAATCCCAAACTAAGAATTTTTTTAAAAGTAGTATTGGGAATTGAACCCAGAACCTTAATACATGCTAGGTACATACTCTACCACTGAACTGTGTACTCAGCCTCCAAACTAAGAATCTTAATCCTTTCCATCATGTTTTGTGGCTTGTGTTTTCCCTTCTATCTCTGTAATAATTTCATAATGTTTTTTATAAATTTTATAATGATTTTATAGTGTTATTAGGGGTCAGTTGTTACCTAATGACAAACCAGTATTGGCACATGCCTTTAATCTCAGCATTGAGGATACAGAGGCAAGTGAACCTCTTGGGGCCAGCCTGATGTGCATGGTGATACCCTATCTCTAAAGAAAACAATTTAAGGGACTAGAGAGATGGCTCAAAGGTTAAGAGCACTGGCTGCTTTTCCAGAGGTCCTGAGTTCAATTCTCAGCAACCACATGGTGGCTCACAACCATTTATAATGAGATCTGGTGCCTTCTTCTGGTGTGCAAGCATACATGCAGACAGAATGCTGTATACATAATTTATAAATAAATCTTAAAAAAATTAAATTACCTCATGACACTAAGCTGTCTTAGCTGTACTTGATAGTTTCCCATACCTCTTGATCCATTATGCTTGTTTCAGTGATCTGGAATTAGGGTATTTGGGAATGTTCTTGACTATAGATGAGTGGAGGAGCAGTTGTCCCGATTTTATTTTCTTGTTAGGAGTACATTGCTTTGCAAAGAGGTTGATCAATTAGGCAAGTCTTTTTTTTTTTTTTTCCCCGAGACAGAGTTTCTCTGTATTGTTTTGGAGCCTGTCCTGGAACTCGCTCTGTAGACCAGGCTGGCCTCAAACTCACAGAGATCCACCCACCTCTGCCTCTCAAGAGCTGGGATTAAAGGCGTGCGCCAGCAACGCCTAGCTAATTAGGCAAGTCTTATCAAAGATGTCTTCCACACATCTTAGCATTTGGTTCTGAAGAGCAGTGAGATGAATATTTTCCTATTTTCATTCTTGTTTTAGGATGCAAAGGTCATGTCATGGTGGGATTATGGCTACCAAATTACTGCAATGGCAAATCGGACAATTTTAGTAGATAATAACACGTGGAATAATACTCATATTTCTCGAGTAGGACAGGTAAGGTAAAAGGGTCCCTTGAGTCTACTGGGAAATGTGTTACTAGGAGAGGAGGTTGATTTAAAATTTTTCTTTGAGAATTGTACATTTGTTTTTCTAGGCAATGGCATCCACAGAAGAAAAAGCCTATGAAATCATGAGGGAGCTTGATGTCAGCTATGTGCTTGTCATTTTTGGAGGCCTCACTGGATATTCCTCTGATGGTAATGTACTTGATATTATTTCTAGCTGCGGGGCATTAGATTCTTAGAAAATGTAGTGAGTTGGTTATTTTATTTATTTGTATTTGTTTTTGAGTCTCATGACTCAGGCTGGCCTTGAACTTGCTGTGTCCATAAGGGTGACCTTGAACTATTGATCTTCTTGCTTCTACCTCCCTGGTGTTTGTAGCTACAGGCCTGCACCATCTGTCTTATTTTCTCTTTAAAGAAAACGTGTGTGTGTGTGTGTGTGTGTGTGTGTGTGTGTGTGTGTGTATGTGTGTGTGTATACAAAGTAAAAGTAACTTTCACAAACTAAAGTAAATATTATATGTTTATATTTTTAAAAGTAAACAATTATGGAAGTTTAAAATAAGTGGTTGTCTCTTGGCCCTAAACTTAAATTAGCATCTTTAACATTAGTGCCCAGAAGCAGTAATTTCTATCTTCAGTTACTTAGGTTGTTGTTTGTTTTTGCAATGCTGGGGACTGGACCCCTGGAGCTTACATGTGCTAGGCGAGCACTTCACCACTAAGCTCTACTCTCAAATCTTCATATTTTAAAATTCCTGCTATTCTGTGGTTTATTAGTTTTAATTGACTATAGCAACATCTCTTTAAAAAAGTTGCTTTATTACATTTATTTATTTGTGTGTATGTTGGGTGAGTTGGTTCTCTCCTTTTACTGTGTGGGGATCAAGCATTGCCTACCTGTGGAGCCATCTCATTGTCTTCTATCAATTTCTTACACTTGAAGTATTTTATTCTTCATCTGACATTTCACCTCTTTTTAGTGTTCTTACTATAGTTAATTTGCAACTTTTGATTAAGTCTAGGTAGGTGTTTTGAAATCATGACTGTAGATACTGTTCAGTCAGTCAATACTCTGATTGCATTTTTATCTTAGATATTTTCTTTTCCTACAGCTAGTGAGTGCCTTGTATTTCTATGTTCATTTTCTTTGAACGTGTGTCTGCTTCTACACACCTTGATTCTTCAAATCCAGTCCTATGGCTGTTTTTTCTTTTTCTCAAGACAGGGTTTCTCTGTAGGTTTGGAGCCCTTCCTGAAACTCAGTCTATAGACCAGGTTGGCTTTGAACTCACGGGGATCTGTCTGCCTCTGCCTCCTGAGTGCTTGGGATTAAAGGTATTGGCCACCAACACCTGGCCTTATGGCTGCTTTTTAAAGATGCTGATATTTTATTTTAAATAAGACTATTTCAAATGTATCTTGTAAAAGCAAAGTAAAATTGATAATAGCAGGAACAACAAACAATTGCCTCAGCAGTATTTGGTAGCAATTATCAAAATATATGTCTATTTAAGTACTGTACAAATATATATTTGTATAATGTCTATCTGCTTACTTGTGTGTATGTGTATGATAGATATATATGCATATTTGAAGGGATAGTTCTATAGGGTGTGATGGTGCACATCTGTAATCTCAGCACTTGGTGTGCAGGAAGATTGCCAAGTTTGACTTCACCTTGGTCTGAATAGCAAGACCTTGTCTATTGAAAACAAAACAAAACAAAAAAACAAAAAACCACAAGTAGTTTCTTGAAGTCTTTCCACTATTACTAAGTAACCACTGTGAACTGAGTAGAATATGTTTGATGTTGGAATAAAAGTGTCATTATTTGTAATAATATTAGAATTTTTTATGAAATTCAGAAGGCAAGCAATTATCATTAGTAACTTGCCATGAAAAGACATATTGTTTAGTGTCTTAGTGTTCTGTTGGCTGTGATAAAACACTGATCAAAAACGCCCTGGGGAGGAGAGCATTTATTTCATCTTACAGCTTGTCCATCATCCAGGGAAATCAGGGAAGGAACTCTAGTCAGGAACACAGTGGTAGGAGCTGATACAGAAGCCTTGGAGGAGTGTTGCTTACAAGATTGCATCTTGTGTTTTGTTTGCTTAGCCTGCTTTCTTTTAGTACCCTGAACCAACCAGCCCAGGGGTGGCTCCACCCACAGTGAGCTGTCACCCCCACACACTGTGGAGCATTCTCAATCAAGAAAATGCACCACAGGTTTGCCTATGGGCCAGTCTGGTGGGTATATTTTCTCAACTGAGGGTCTTTCTATTCAAATGATTCTAGCTTGTGTCAAATTGACAAAATAAAAGGCAAAAACAAAAAAAGACCCTAAAACAAAACTAGCCACCACACTTAACATCAGGAGGTTTTGATTAGAGATACTGTTTTTGTTTAATTTTATTTTGAATTTGTATCCATGTGTGTGCAAGTGCAAGGTTGACTGGTCTCTCCCTGTGACCTGGGACTTGCCACTTAAGCTGAGTTATCTGGGCTGTGAATCCACAGGGATCCACTGTTTCAAATTCCTACTATTGGAATTATAAGTATGAGCTACCATGTCTACCTTTTATATGGGTGTTAGGCATTGAATTCAGGTGTCCATGTTTTTGTGGCAAGCACTTACTGAATGCAGCCCTAAGATTTTCTTTAAATTTTAGACATGGACTTGCTCTATAGCCAGGGTGGTTTGTAACCCGGTTTATAGTGTAGTCAGACCTTCATGTTACAGAATCCTCTGCCTTCCAGGTGTTAGGATTAATGGTGTATACTGCCACATTTGGCAGTTAAACTGATTTAAGAAATATATATGTGTATACATATATATATTCCTTCATATATGTATATATGTGTATGTATGTGTTAATATGTATTTCTCCTTTATCTTATGTGCATTGGTGTTCTTCCATGTATGTCTGTGCACATGTGCTTACAGAGGCCAGAAGAGGGTATCACATCACCTGGGAATGCAGTTATGTGCAAATGATTGTGAGTCCTCATGTAGGTTCTGGAAATTGAACCCTGGCTTCCCTGAAAGAGCAGCCAGTATTAATTGCTGAGAATTTATCAAGAAAAAGTGTAGCATTTAGAAAGGTGCAAATATTGTTAAATCTATAGTTTCAGTAACTTTTCACAGAAAATACATACCCACATAACTACCACCCAAATTGTTACTAGTGTTCTAGAGTACCTTGCTATCTGGACTTCCAATGTATTTCTTCTTAAAGCAGGCTGATGTGTACTTGACATATTGAATTGTTGAAGTTTGTCATACATCTAAACCTTTGTTAGTTCTTGACCTTGAGAATTTTACATGTATTCCTTTTACTTGTTCAGTCTCTGCAGATTTATTTTTGGCAAACTCACCTTTATATAATATAGGGCAGTGTTTTATTTTATGTCTATGAGCATTTTGCTTGCATGCTTGTCTCAATACCACTTGGATGTCTGGTGTGCATGGAGGGCAGAAGAGGGTCTTGGCTCCACTTGAAATAGATGTATTGTGAGCTAACATGTTGTTGCTGGGAATCAAACCTAGGTCTTCTGGAAGAATAGCCAGTGCTCTTAACTGCCAAGCTGTCTCTCTAAGCTCCTAGAATACAGAATGAAACTAACCTAATAAAAGAGATAAAGTCTGTTAGCAGACTTTTTGTTGTTAATGGGTTCTTTAGCATCTTGATTTAGGCCCTCTACAGGCACTTGCAGGGCAGGCACTCTGTAATTCTCATTGGTCTACATTTTTGTCTGCACTTTAGTTTATTTGTTTTTTTCATTTGGGCATATTTGTAATGGTGATACAGATGTTTTATAATGACAATGGGGAAACTACTTCTTCCCTGTTGATTATGCAGTACTATAAGAATGTAGTAAAAATCAGATTTTGTGAAGTCAGCTTGCTGCTTACTAGCTAATTGTATGCAAAAAAGAGACTTATTCAGAAAAAACAGAAAAACAAAAAATCCTTAGCTTCCTTTGGGAACTCATATTTTTGAATTGTTTAAGAAATGATAACTTGCCTCCAAAACAATACAGAGCAACCCTGTCTCAAAACCAAAAAAAAAAAAAAAAAAACAAGAAAAAGAAATGATAATTTGACAATAATCCTATTGGAACTAGCCTTTCTTTTTTTTTTTTTTTGTTAAGATTTTATTTATTATGTATACAGTGTTGGCACCAGATCTCATTACAGATGATTGTAAGCCACCATGTGGTTGATGGGAATTGAACTCAGGACCTCTGGAAGAACAGCCAGTGCTCTTAAAACCTCTGAGCCATCTCTCCAGCCCTAGCCTTTTCTTTTTAAAGACAATAGAATACTTTTTAGAGAAATTAAAAACATTACAGAATATTCAGTATCTAACAATATGTAAACATGCCTATGACAGTCATGAAAGATAATTCCTCAAGACTGTGTTATTAAACTGTATTAGTAGGAGTTTTGAAAGTTTGAGAGTGATTATTGTTGCTGTAAATGTTTTCGTGTATTAAATATTTCAACTGGTCTGTTTGTGAATCCTTTATGAATTTTAAAAAATACCACCCACCTACACTAATAAGTGTCAAAAGACAATTTCACTGGTGTTTAATTTTGCTTTAGTCGCTCATTCCCAACTTACCTTTAGTCTTTAGTCATTATTATCTTTTCTTGGGAAGTGTGCCTATGGCTATAACCCTATCATTCCACATGCTGAGGCAGGAGGCTTTTCAATTTCAGGCCAGCATGTACTACATCATGAGTTCTTTTTACTGTAGAAACAAAATCAAAACCAAAAAATGCTCATGACTTGATCTTTCAAAATACTGCCTAGGTTGGCCTTGACCTCTTAGTCTACCTCTAATTTAGTGTTTTCAGTGTTGAGATTACAGGCACAGAAAAGATGATGTTTTTTAAAGCAATTAGTAGGTCTTTGGATAAATTTTCTGTTGCTTTTAGAGAAGTAGAGACATCTGCCCTAGAACTCACTATGTAGCCCAGGGTAGCCTTAAACTAACAGAGATGGACCTGCCTCTGTCTCCCAATTGCTAGGGTTAAAGGCATGTACCACTACACCTGGCTTCTAGTTTTACTTTTTATTGAGTACTTACGAAGGCTTAAAATATTTGATCATAGTATGGATTCTTTTATATGAAAACTTGATGCTGTGTTGCCCAGGCTGGCCTTAAATACATGAAACACCTCCCTCAGCCTCTTAGTGCTGGAATTACAGATAGGCACCAGTGTGCCTAGTTCCCACTGCTATTATATTCTTACAATTCCTCTAAATTGGCATTAATAATACTTACGGTGCTTACTTAAGTATATGTGGCTACTGGCTTCTGCTTGCAATAGCTTGGTGCTTCCTGATTTATAGGAATACTTCTAGTTGTGGCTTAAGACTGGACCAATAGCATACAATTTCAGCCTTAAACAATTTCTAATAAAAGTTTTGTATTTTTAGGAAATGTTTTGCTAACATACTATTTCCCATTTTTACAGAGTTAAATGATAGCATTCCTTATTAGAAAAGTGTGATGGAAATTTCCTTAGAAACAGTGACATTTTCATTGAGACAGTCCTTTCCTTTTCCCTCCAGATATCAACAAGTTTCTTTGGATGGTTCGGATTGGAGGGAGCACAGATACAGGAAGACACATCAAGGAGAATGACTACTATACTCCAACTGGGGAATTCCGAGTGGATCGTGAGGGTTCTCCAGTGCTGCTCAACTGCCTTATGTACAAAATGTGTTACTACCGCTTTGGGCAGGTCTACACAGAAGCCAGTGAGTGACTCATAATATTAACAATAGTGGTGCTAACACAAGCTGTGTTTCCCAGGTTCTGCTCTTAGTCTTTTTAACTCATTTAGTCCTCACAGGAACCCAAAAGATAGAAACTAATGTTAATGCCATTTTATGTAAGGACATTGAAATAACCAACAGGTTACTGAGCTAGCTAATATCACGTGACAGTTCAAACTCAGTCTGCCTCAGAATTATGTACTTTAAAATATTATCTTTTGCTTGGGTGGTGGTGCACATCTTCAGTCCAGCACCTGGGAGGCAGAGGCAGTTGGATCTCTATGAGTTTAAGGCCAGCCTGATCTACAGAGCAAGTTCCAGTACAGCCAGGGCTACACAGAGAAACGCTGTCTCTAAAAACAAAGCAAACAAAAATTTTTTTTTTTTTTTTTTTTTTTTGGTTTTTTCGAGACAGGGTTTCTCTGTGGCTTTGGAGGTTGTCCTGGAACTCGCTTGGTAGTCCAGGCTGGTCTCGAACTCACAGAGATCCGCCTGCCTCTGCCTCCTGAGTGCTGGGAATAAAGGCGTGCGCCACCAACGAGAGATGGCTCAGCAGTTAAAGGCTAGGCTCACAACCAAAAATTTTATCTTTTATTGTGAATTTTTCAATAAAGAATATTGTAGTGTGAGAAGGACTGAGGGATAAAGAAAAAAATAACCTTTCCATTTTTTAGATGAATACATCAAGAAGGATTTGGTCAGGTTAGATCTTGTCCATTTCAGTTTTGTGCCTGCGTCTAGGAAAACTTTTGCAGTATATACAGATCTTGGACACATGATCCATGAAAGGGTTACTAGTGTTAGGTCTCTGGATAACAGTCCTCAGGACTAGAGAGCTTGAAAATCACCTTGTAGACTTATAAGAGATAAGTCCATGGACTCTGCCAAGCATCACATTGGGCAGGACTCCATTAGGGTAGCACTTGATTTGCCATTTCTATCTACTTCTCTTTCTTGCAGACTCAAGTCAAAGTGCAGGCTGAGGAATAGAAATCAATGTCATAGTTGGTGTTCAGCTTCCTCTCTTTAGGGGATCAATTTTCAGAATAGAAAGAAGTTTTCTTTCTTGTTACTTTTAGAGCGTCCACCAGGCTTTGACCGTGTTCGAAATGCTGAGATTGGTAATAAAGACTTTGAGCTTGATGTCCTGGAGGAAGCATACACCACAGAACATTGGCTGGTCAGGATATACAAGGTGAGTAGGTGCTATATTTCAGATAACTCTTGTTCTAGTATACAATTTCCATATAGGGATATTTTAAATGGTACCTGGTTTCAAAGTAGCTTGTAACTTACTTGAAGTATTATTTTTAAGTTCTCTCTCTCTCTCTCTCTCTCTCTCTCTCTCTCTCTATATATATATATATATATACACACACACACATATATATATATCCCCCTCCCCCGTGTGTGTGTGTGTGTGTGTGTGTGTGTGTGTGTGTGTGTGTGTGTGTGTGTGTGTATGTGTGTGTACGTGTACATCTTTGCATCTTTGTGAATTCTCTTCCTTTGCCTTTTTGTAGGTTTCCAAGATTGAATTCAGGAAATCAGGCCTGTATACAGTTTTACCTGCTAAGCCATCTGGCCAGGCCAAAATGTTACTAATTATATTTTTGATTATTCTTAGAGAGGAGACATCTCAGTTGGCAGTTGTTATACCAACTTTTCTTTTTATTTAAAAAAAAAGTTGTTTTTTTAGCTACATTTTTATATGGAGGGAGGCATTATATATGTATGTTTCATATGAGGACAGCTTGCAGGTATCAGGTCTTTTGTCATATGGGTCCTGGAGATCAAAATCAAGTTACTAGAATTGATGGCAAGTGCTTTTACCCAATGAACCATTTTGCCAGATCAGTACTTTTTTTTTTCTTCTTTCTTTATGGTTTTGGGGATAGGGTCTCAGGATGCCATTATGGCTGGCTTTAAGATTACTATTAATCCCAGGTTGGCTTAAACTTAGATCCCATTTCTTCAGCTTCTGGAATGGTAGTAGTAAAGATATGGCCACTGTACTTGGTTCAACAATACTGTAGGGTTTGAAATAGCCTGGGGGTTGGGGGAAATGCAGGTGTTTGTGTTTTTGAACTATATTTTCTTTTTTGCTGAATTCTTGACACAGAATCACATGATGTCATGTACGAGTGTGTTATATGTTTTATATGGGAAAAGATTGAACCAGATATAACATGCGCCTGTATCCCAGAACTAGGAAAGCAAAGGCAGGGGGATTGAATTTGAGGCCAGCCTAAACTACATAGCAAAACTCCCAAGTAACAGTGCGGAAAGCAAGGAATGATTGAAGTCTTATGGTCAATGCCGAAGTTAGTTTATACTGCTTCCTAAAGGGTAAGGACAGAAGACAGGCTCTAACCCATGCTTAGTTTTCACATTGTCAAACAGGCAACACAGTCTAGTGTAATCCTGTCTGTTCTGGTGGATCTAGTAGATCTCTCCAAAGTTGAATTGTATATACATACTAAACTGATAGATCTCTCCAAAGTTGAACTGTATATACATACTAAACTGATGTCTTTATGTTGCAGGTAAAGGACCTGGATAATCGAGGCTTGTCAAGGACATAAATGTCCATTGTGCCCTGATACGCTTCGCACTGAATGCGTCATATTGAGGACGCCGGAAGATTTTTTTTTTATATGCAGTTTATAAGAACAGAGCTGGATGGGATTAGAATTGTCTGGAAGTTTTGCCCTGGACAGTTATGGGCTGGGCCAAATGAAATGATTTTTATAATTCTGAGCAGGTTACCAAATGAAATGTCATGGCTTTACTTTGTTCAATTAAAGGGGGGTAATTTTTTTTAAATGTGCCTTATTTGTTTTGACTTAAATGGGCTGATTTGAGAATCACAGAAGTGAATAGATGGAAGACCATATCTATGCTCTAGGTCCCCAGATGAACCAAACAGGAGCATTTTCTTTCTCCCATCAGCAAACTCAAGGACTAGCTGTGGCTCTACAAATATAAAAACTTTTGTCACATTTTTTGTTTTGTAGCACCCTGGTACAATGCTTTGCATATAATGGGTGCGTAATAAATTTTTAACAAATGAATAAATGCTTCTGGGACCAGAGGAGTGCTATTTCTGAGCAAGGAAGACAATTTTCTTGCTGTTACATTTATGTTCTCAGTGTCTATTTCATTAGAAGTTCTTTGGCTTTGTAAGGGCAGAAAGTTGCTAAGTATTCATGATCTCACCAGGATCTTTTCAATTAGTCAGTGTTTTTCTTATTCTAAGCAGAAATGTGAACCAAATGTGACTAATTCAGTAGTTCTTAAGACTCAGTGAAACACATTAATCTGAGAGGAAGACACTCCTCTGACATCATATATAGAGGTTGATGGTCAGTAGATGTTTCAGGAATCAGATATAATCATATGTACCTATATGAAATTTTGGTTTTCAGTACTTTACTAAATCTAAAACACAGTCAATGGCTCTTTGCTTGTTTCCTGTAGACTGCACTAAATCTCTTGGGCTTATCCACCATGAGCTTCTGTTTTTCTTAGTGTCAGTCTGCTGTGTTCATACACCACTCAGACTTGATTACCTGTTTTTGAAGCCCTTGCAAAATATGTAACTAGGAAGTGGGAAGTGTTGCTACTAGCAGGTACCTAGAGACAATTGCCAGTCTGACTTTAAAAAACGTTTTAACTTCAGAGCACAGAGGTCTCATAGTTATTTTATGCCAGGATAAATAAACAGCTTTCTGTTCAGTACAATAGGACATTTCATGTACTTTACAGCATAGGACATAATCACTGATGTATATAAACTGTCTTAAAGAAATTATATGACTTTTAGATAGTCCCATTTGTACTCAGTGCACATATGCTTAGGTACACTTGTATACCTAAGGACTTTACCTTCAAGCCAGTCTATGTACTGTGTACTTTAACTGTGGTTGAAGTTTAGATTTAACAGAAGATTTGATTTCCTATATGTAAATATATTACTTGATTTATATACATGATCAATGCCTAGTGGGAAAGGTTAATCTCAGATTTATCAATACTATTATATTACAGGTTATTAGTAAGCTTTCTGTATAGTATGAATGGAGTAACTCATCATTTTAACTCCGAAGATTTTTATATTTTCTAGTTTACACAGATTTTTTTTTCTTAAATTGCTTTCAATTTCAGTTATAGTCCACTTAGTGTAAAAAAAAATTCCATCGTAAAAAATACAATTTCACACATATCCCTTCCCACACACCCACTGACTACTCTCCAGAGATAACATGTCCAGCTATACTGAACCTCCCATTATTGCTTCCTGTCTGATCATTAGTAACTTGTTTTGTTATGTTTTCATTTCATAATTTGAAGTAGCATTGATTTGGGGTGGGAACAGGAGTTAGTACTTTTTCACCATCCTGTTATCATTGGTTCTTAACTCGTAGGTTGTGACCCCTTGGTAATTCTCTATCTCCAAAAGTATTCAACATTACAATTCCTAACAATAGTAGAATTACAGTTAGAAGTAGCAACAAAAATAATTTTATGGCTGGGGATCACCACATGAAGAACTGCATTTTTAAAGGGTCTTGAAATAAGTTTGAGAATTACTGCCTTATATTTGTGACACTATTTTTACTATCATCTGCAATTAATTTTTACTTTCTGGCTATTCTCAGTTGAGATGTGTTATATACTGTTAACTTTTGTTTTTTTTTTTTTTAAGACAGTTTGACTTTGAACTCTGGATTGTCCTGCCTCTACCTTCCAGGCTACTATAGCCAGCCAGTTACTGTTTTTCCTCTATAACTTCTTTTAGGAAGTACTTTTAAGTTTTTAGTACTTACCTCCCTAGCCAATTGTCTTTCATTTGTGCTTATTTTCTCTTAAGATGATCAAATACATTTGTTAGTCAACTTTGGCTTTTTTACACAGATGGTTTTGTAGCCAGGGCTGGCTATGAATTTCTGCTTCTTCTTGCCTCTACTTGCCAAGTTTGGGATTATAGGTGTATGCCACCACACCTGATTACATTGTTAACTTTAAGAATGTCTTTTATTTCTCAGCTTGAACTGGTTAACTCTCCAAGCTTGTTGAGTTGTATTATTTAACCGTTATATTTGTTAAGCCTTTTTTATTGATTTGCCATTTCTAAGTATCTTTTTATGAAAGTGTGTGTGTGTGTGTGTGTGTGTGTGTGTGTGTGTGTGTGTGTGTGTAGGGGGGTAAATTTCTGGAGCTCTTCTATACTATACTCAATGCATAGCTGGGTACAGAATTCCAGACTGTCATTATTTTGCATTATAAAGGCACTAGCCTTTTGTTCTCTATTTTCCTAATGTTGAGAAATGCAGAGTTATTCTGAGGAGTATTTGTCTATTCTTTGTCTCAGATCTCTGTTGCATCTTTATTGTGGGTATCCACTGTGCTGGGTACTCTGGATTTTCATGTGTGCACAGTCAAGTTTTTTCTGTTTCTGAAAAAATACTATTTATATGTAGATTTCTTCAGCTGTCTTTCTGATATGGTTAATTAAAAAATTTGAATGTTAGGCAACACAGTATGACACTAAGTATTTACTTTAATTTATGTGTTTGGGTGTTTTGCCTGCATACATATATATATCATGTGCATGCCTGGTGCCCAGAGTCCAGAAGAAAGCATCAGGTCCTTTGGAAGAGCTGTCAGTGGTCTTACTGTTGAATCAACTCCCCAACCCCTGGTAAAATTATTTTAATGTGGTGCTTCCTGAGTCAATTTCCTAAATTGTTCATATTTACTCTTTCATCTCTCCTCTCCTCAGAGATTTTCTCAGCTGTTTTCCTTCGCTCCTCTCTCCTTCGTTTTCTGTGTGTGTTGCCTTGGGTCAAACCCAGGGTCTTGTGCATGCTAAGCACCTTTGTCAATGTGCTACATTCCCATCTTCAACCATGTTTTTAATTATTTTTTTCTTTTCTGCTATTTCTAAAGTCTTAAGAGCCCTTTTGTTGTCTGTTCCATTGTTTTGCTGCCTTTCCAATTAAAGACTTACCCAAATTCTTGGCTGACTGCTTTTTAAAGGAATATGTGTTTATGCTTTTAAGTGTACTGTGATCAGTACACTGAGAGATCATTGATTTTGGTTAGATTTCCTTTTCTTTCATACATAAGATTCAAGGTTTGTCCTTGTATTCAAGGATATTGGCCAGGCTGCCACCTTTCTTGAGTAAAGTAGGAAAAGAAAGCTTATGGGTTCAACTCTTAGTACATACACTTAAACTGCTGTTTTCAGTAGGACAGCCACACCTTTTCTGTGCTTACTCTACAAGCCAGCTTCCATTTATTTATTAAATCTTATTTCCAGCTTTGGGGAAGAGCTGTTCCTGGCTACACTAGAGGAAGTGTGTAGAGGTCTCTGCTTCAAAGGTAGTCTTGTGACTGCCCTGCTTTGACCTCCATACTCAGAGCTGCCTGGTGTCATTTCAACTTGAGACTTCTGGGCTTCCCACAATGCAATTCTAGCCACTTTCCTGTACTTTGGGATTAATCTTTATTTTTACTTGTTACCTTTTATCTGCCGTAGGCTTTCACTTTTCCTTATACACAGGAATAGAGGCTTTTGCTTATGTGCCCCCCTCCCACCTTTAAAAGACCCTCTTAATGTAGCCCAAGCTTAGTGTGTAGTTAAGGGTGGTTTTGAATTCCTGATCCTCCTCTATCTGTCTCCAAGGAACTGTGTCATAGGCAAGTATTATGAAACCTTTGTCTTTATACTACTATTCCTGTATAACTGTTTAGGAAGTTTTATCATGGTTTTGGTTGTATGTGTAAATTTTTGAAAATTAGTTATTTGTTATTTTTTATGTACATGGTGTTTTGACCACATGTATATTTGAGGGTGTCAGATCCCCCTGAAACAGGAGTTACAGCGCTGATACTGACTAAATCTATTTTTTTCCAGGTGATGACATTTCATTCATGAATATAGGAACCTCATGGGTCTTTATATTCTTTGATTTCAAAACAGACAGGAAATTACAAAGAAATGGGAAATGATATAAAAACTTTTCATCACATGAATCCTATAATCAATGTCATGGTTTACACTTTCATATATAAATATTTGCAGGTGTTTCACACTTCACTTTTGATGGAGATGTAGCTCAGTGGCAAAGCCAGCATAAGGTTTCATTTCGTCCCCAAGTCCTTTCCTTGAGAATTGACATTTCTCACTGGGCCTTCTGCATGCTTGGCCAGTTACCCCAGTGTTTATTGTGCCACTCTACCCACCGCCTTTTAAAGACAGGGTCATACTTTTTGGCTTAGGCTGACAAACCTGAAGCAGGTCCCCTACCTCAGCCTTCCTTGGCTGCTGGCAAATCACCACCACGTCTCGCTTGCTGTTTGTTTGAAAGAGCATCTGGCTGGGTATCTCTTGCCTCAGTTTTCGAGTGTTGTATTAGAGGTGTGGGCCACCATGCTCGTTTAAGAACTAGAAAGCTAGTAAAACTAAGCTAGGCAAATGGTCTTCCTATAAACAGGTGAGGCTGAATTAGTTTTGGGGCCTGTGCAGGCAAAATCGGAGATCCTGACTGGATTGTAAACTCCAAATACTGTCTTTATCCTGCCCCCCTCGTACCCGAAGCTATATGGTCCTTTTTAAAACTTTTTTTGTGTTTGTTTATTTGAGAAGACTAACCTTGTATAACCCGGGCTGGCCTTGAACTCGCTATTTTGTTTCTTTTCGAGACAGGGTTTCTCTGTGTTGCCTTGGCTGTCTTCGAACTCACAGAAATCCGCCTGCCTCTGCCTCCCGAATGTGGGATTAAAGGCCTGCGCCACCACCGCCCGGCAAACTCGCCGTTTTCTTGCATACTCCTTTCAAAATCTACGATTACAGGCACACACCACCACATCTGGCTTTCCTTCTTTTTTTTTTCTCTTAAGGATCAATTCCAACAACAGTTGCTAACTTGTAAGCTCGAATACTAAGTAGCGTTTACAGAGCACTTTGTGGCTCTCAATTTAGCTTCCCAAGCCTTTCCTAGCAGGGGCTCCGAGGTCACGAGCTGGTCGGTTTACGTAGTTAACGGTGTAGCCCTTGTAGGCTCAGAGCGGCAAGGAACCCGGGGCTTGACCGGGGCCCAAGTGACGCTCGGTGTGGATGGAGGCTTCGGCGCCTCTCTGGAACAACGCGAGGCGTCCGGCGGGGCACACGCCCGATGCTATTTCACTCCGGGACTCACAGATCAATTCTCCCCAAGGCGGTCGTCAGTACCAAATCTCGTCTGCCCGTCTCTGACCATCGCCGCAGGAGAACTGCAGCCGGGCAGGGCCAGCGCCGGGAGGAGGAGGAGCCCCTTCCGGGTCGCTCTACAGAAGCTGCTCAGCAGAGCCCAGGATAGGATAACGCGCGCCGGCCCGCTTTACGGCAAAGGTGCGCGCGTTTGCGACAGCATGACGCAAGCAAGTTTTGGCGGGAAAAGTTCTGCATTTGGATTCCTGTGGCAGCTGGCAAAGGAGTGCTTGGCGAGAAGAGCGTCCCGAACGGTGGGAAAGGATTCCTGCGAAGGTCCCAGAGGTCTAGACTAGTGCGGACGGGCACGGTGAGGGAGTGGTCGTGACGACCGGAGAGATGGGAGGGCTCCCGGAGTGCGGGCTGGAGCTGGTGGCCCGCGGCTCTCCAGCGTCAAGGGACCAGAGCTGTGAGCCCCTAGGGTTCGCACACCTTTCCGGCTCTAGGGGTCCCTGCCTTCCGCTCGCCCAACAGCTCGGCCCCGCCCCCCTTCCCTCCGCGTCCTGGGGACACGTGCCGTTGGGTGGAAATTGGAAATGAGCGGGTGGGAGGAGGGGCTGCTCTGGCAGTAATTACGGTAGTTACTCACCTGTGTCACCCCCCCCCCCCCAGCCCCGCGCTCTCTGCCCGCAGCTCCTCCTCCTCCTGGTCGTTCACCGGGAAGCCTTTGTCTCCTAGCTCCGATCCCAGCCAGTATTCAGTTTTGCATAAAGGCAAAGGCTGAACCGGGATTGTGATATATAGGACAAAATGCCTAAATTTAGTATTGTGACTTGGGTAAATCTGGATGGGATGTAAGGGGAAACCAAAGTCGTCTGGGATCATGGCCAGAGGCATGGCTCAGCGACATTACAAGTGAAGAGAATTCACACTCATCTCCGGCATTTTACAGCCGCTGTGCTTGGAGTCATGGCAGTACCATTTGTGGAAGACTGGGACTTGGTGCAAACTTTGGGAGAAGGTGCCTATGGAGAGTGAGTTTGAACCCTCATTTAAATTTTTTTTTACATTTATTAGTGTGTGTTTGTTATGCCATGGTGAGCCTGTGGAGGTCAGAGGACAACTTGTAGGAGTTGGTTCTTATAAGGGTTGGGAGAATTGAACTCAGATCAGTGGCTATACCTGCTTAGCCATCATTTTTATGGCCTCCCTCATTTAAAATTTTATCTTGCCAGTGTGCTTGCTTTAGTTTTCAGTCTGCTGTTTTGAGTACCCATTAAAAAATCCTTTATTTCAAGTGGCAAAGAGAATGGCTATTTGCATTTGTAAATCAAGTCTCTTAGCAAGTGAAGTTACATATACACACCCACTCGGGCCTTTTTTGTAATGGGGATTGAACCTAGGGTGTCACACCTGCTGGTGAATGCTTTGCCTCTGAGCTACAGCCCTAGGCCTTAAAAACAACAACAAACAACCCCCCCCATGTCTTTTATTTGTGTTTGTTCAGATCAACATCTTGTTAAATTGTTAGATTGGCCTTGAACTTGTGGTGCACTATAGCCTACACAGGTATTACAAGCCTGTTTTAAGTCGACCCAGCTTTTTAAAAAGTTTTCTTTTCTCAAGAATTATAAGAGAATTAGTTTTTTTCCCCTATCAAGCCATTTGTCTTATAATTTAAGTGAAAATTCCCTGGAGGCATCCTACCCCAGCGACTCCTCAGATCTTCACACTTAGCAGATCCTGGTTGTGTTTTGTGTTCTTGAGCAAGCTTTATAAGCCTCTGTTTCCTCAGCTGAAGGTGGAGTTTGATAGTAGCTACCTGCATGCACTAGGCAATGACTTTCTTGGAGCTTTAACTGTAATACTTCACTTTTCCATCTCATTTTCATTGAAGAAAACAGTGAAGGGAAAATATTTTAGGAAGTATTATATTTAATCTTTTGATGTTTTTTTTTTTTTTTTTTTTTTTGGTTTTTTCGAGACAGGGTTTCTCTGTAGCTTTGGAGGCTGTCCTGGAACTCACTTTGTAGACCAGGCTGGCCTCGAACTCACAGAGATCCGCCTGCCTTTGCCTCCCGAGTGCTGGGACTAAAGGCGTGCGCCACCAACGCCCGGCTTGATGTTTTTTCTTTTTAAGATTTATGCATTATTAGGGTTCTGGAGCGGTGGCTCAGTGGTTAAGAGCATTGCCTGCTCTTCCAAAGATTCTGAGTTCAATTCCCATCAACCACATGGTGGCTCACAACCATCTGTAATGAGATCTGGTGCCCTCCTCTGGCCTGCAGGCATACATACATACAGGCAGAACACTGTATACATAATAAATAAATCTTAAAGGAAAGATTTATGCATTTATTTATTTATTTTCTCCCAGACAGGGTTTCTCTGTGGCTTTGGAGGCTGTCCTGGAACTAGGTCTTGTAGACCAGGCTAGGCATCGAACTCACAGTGATCTGCCTGCCTCTGCTTCCCGAGTGCTTCTATCAAAGGCGTGCACCACCAACACCTGGCTGATTTATGCATTTTTATATGTATGAGTGTTTATCTACACATTAGTGTACTACATGTGTACACTTCTGACCAAGGCCAGAAGAAGGTAGAATCCTCAACTGGAATTACAGATGGTTGTGAGCTACCCAGGTCAGAAGCAAGAACGTTTAACTGCTGAGTCATTACTCCCACCAGATGCCCCCCACTTCTGCCCCTCCTCCCTTGTTTTGTTTGCAGAGAGTTGTCTCATTGTTTAGCTGCCTGTCTCTGCATCCTAAGTGTTGGGATCAAAGACATGTGCCACCACACTCTGCTTGTTGGGAGGGTTGGGGGGTTTGGGGGGCTGGTGTTTGCTTGTTTGTTTTATTTGGTCTGTTTTAGAGAGTTTCTTTGTAGCTCAGTCTGGCCTTGAACCCTTTTGCTTTTGTCTCCAGAATGCTGGAATTACAGGCATGTATCACTAATCTTTTGAGGTTTTAGGAGAAATAGAATTCCGATGTGGAAATGTTTTAACACACACTCTCTCTTTCTCTTTAAGAGTTCAACTTGCTGTGAATAGAATAACTGAAGAAGCTGTTGCAGTGAAAATTGTAGACATGAAGCGGGCCATAGACTGTCCAGAAAACATTAAGAAAGAGATCTGTATCAATAAAATGTTAAATCATGAGAATGTAGTGAAATTCTATGGTCACAGGAGGGAAGGCAATATCCAGTACCTGTTTCTGGAGTACTGCAGTGGAGGAGAGCTTTTTGATAGAATAGGTATGGAAAAAGTTTAACATAATTGTTTTACTAAACACATTTATAAACTGTGTGCATCCATGTGTATTGCAAGAGATAAAACCGAGAGCCTTTCTATAGGCCCTTCAAGTGGTCTACTACAAACCACTTTCTCAGTTGCATGTCATTTATTTATTCATTTAAGATTTATTGCTATTTTATGTGCATTGGTGTCTCACCTGTCTTGTCAGTGTGAGGGTGTTAGATCCCCTGGAATTGGAGTTACAGACACTTGTGAGTTGCCACGATGGTGCTGGGACTTGAACCTGGGTTCCTCTGGAAGAGCTGCCAGTGCTTTTAGCTGATGAGCAATGTCTCCAGCCCTCAGATGTATTCTTTGGAGGGTGTGTTTCAAGATGGGTTTCTCTGTGTAGTCCTGGCTCTCTTGGAATTCACTTTGTAGACCATGTTGGCTTTTGAACTCAGTGATCCACCTGCCTCTGCCTCCTTCCTGAGTGCTGGGATTAAAGGCGTGTGCCAACACCTCCCAGGTCTGGAATGTATTTTAAAGTTTGGAATTTTAAAGGGAGATGAATACAATTTTTTGGCAGACACCTATCTCAGTTATATCTTAATGTTAGACAGCTGTTATTTTAGAGTTGGTTATGCAGCAGTAAAATTGGAGTAAGAGGTTAGGCATTTTTGACTTTGTAATGTGAAAATTTTGTGATTTAAATCTATTAAGTAGTGAAATTATACTAGCTTTTGTTGTTGGCAGTCATACTGAAATGTTGAGGAAAACAGGAGGTGTTTACAATTTACTTGTTTATCTTAGTCGTTTCATATTTTGTGTACAGTGTGCATGCCTGGTGTCCATGGAGGCATGCCTGGTGCTGTAAGAAGTCTGAAGAAAGCACTGGGTTCCTTGGAGCTGGAGTTAGAGGTGGTTGTGAGCTGTGTGGGTGCTGAGAGTCAAATCCTGGAAGAGCAGCCAGTAGTGTAAACTGCTAAGCCATCTCTCCAGCCCTGAGTTTTGTGTTTAAAAGAAGGAGGGGGAGATGTGAAGGAAACCTTGCCCATTGTTGTTAGTATAAGATTAAAATACTTTGGTACTTTTATTATTTTCGTATGATGTTAGTTTATTTTTACTATTTATTGGTTAGGCAGATGTGAGTTATTTAGTAACATATTTGTTAATTAGAATTGAGTCTTTTGTTAGTATAAGTTCCTGTTTGCTTTAGTACAAACATAACTGAGATACAGAATAAGAGCCTGCATGGTAGATGCCTGATTATATATTTTCAGTAGATATCAATACTTATTTCTTACAGAGCCAGACATAGGCATGCCTGAACAGGATGCTCAGAGATTCTTCCATCAACTCATGGCGGGGGTGGTAGGTACCATAGCCTCTTAACATTTTGCTTAAAATTAACACCAGTAGGTGAGTTGCTAAATTCTACTGTTTCTACCTCCATCTAGGTTTATCTGCATGGAATTGGAATAACCCACAGGGATATTAAACCAGAAAACCTCCTCTTGGATGAAAGGGGTAAGATTCCATTTTGTTAATGTTATTTTCTTAGGTTAGTCATATGGGCCTGATCAAGGCTTTCACATTACTGAAATTTTGGAACCAAAAAAAAAAAAAAGATGAGAAATCTAAGATTTTATGGAAATTTGGGAAACTCACTGTATTTGGACTTCACAAGTCTTTTTTTTTTTTTTTTTTTTTTGGTTTTTCGAGACAGGGTTTCTCTGTGTTGTTTTGGAGGCTGTCCCGGAACTCTGTAGACCAGGCTGGCCTCAAACTCACGGAGATCTGCCTGCCTCTGCCTCCCAAGTGCTGGGATTAAAAGTGTGCGCCACCAATGCCCGGTGGATTTGACAAGTCTTTAAGGATATAGTTGTAGATGAGGTAGAGAGATACCTGGGATGATGAATGGTAGCTAACTGGATGAGTAAATAGAAGAAGTTTTAAGTTTATTTATTTTTAAATTAATTTTTTTAAGTTTGTGTGTGTGTTTGTATGTGTGAATAAGTGTGTATATGTATGTTTGTATGTATGTATGCCACATGTTAGGAGTACCCAGGGAGGCAGGAAGAAATCCCTTGAATCTACTTGGTCAGCCACATGATGTGGGTGTTGGTAGTAAGACTCTAGACCTTTAGAAGAATGGTATGCATTTTCAACTGCCGAGTCATTGCTCCAACCCTACAAGAAAATGTAAAAGTTCTTTAAAGAATTAATATGCCATGCTTTTGTTGAAATATCCTACGCCTTAGTCTTAGAGGTCAACCTCAGGTTGTTGTGTTGGTGAAAAGTACCTTAATCTGCTGAGCCATCTCACTGGCCCTGTTCTGTTTTTAAATAACTTATTTATTTTTATTTTATGTGCATTGGTGTTTTACCTGCATGGTTGTCTGTGTGAGGGTGTCAGATCTTGGAGTTACAGACAGTAGTTAGCTGCCATATGAGTGCTGGGAATTGAACCAGTATCCTAGAAGAGCAGTTAGTGAGTGCTCTTTAGTTGCTGAGCTATCTCTCAAGCCCCCACCTTTCTGGTTTTTAGTAAGACAGGTACTCCAGTCTTCCCAAATTTTGGGAGATACAGGTAGATTGGGAATTCAAGGTCATCCTTAGCTACATAGTTAGGGGCCAACTAGGGTTATGGGAGACCCTGCCTTAAGCCTACCCCTCAGAAGAGCTTGATGCTATCCTTAGGCTGTTGTACTTGCTTTTGTAGCTAGGGATGACCTGGGGCTTGCCCTTCTGCCTCCTGACTACTGAGAATACAGGGGTGTGCACCCATGCGTGGCTCTCCTTCTGTTTTATGGGATAGATGTTTCATAAAATTGAGAGAGAACAGCAGAAGTGTTAGTTTTATAGAATTGTAGACAAGCATAAGCTACGTGAGGCAGTGATTTTGTTTTGTTTTGAGTGAGACAGGATCTCACTGCCATTTTAGTGTGTGTTTCCCTGATGGCTGAGGATGCTGGCCATTGTTTCCAATATTTGTTGACTTTTTAAAAAAAGTTTTTTTGTGTTTAACTGATAGAGAACTATCTTTTAAACTCACCCACCCATTTGTTGATTGGATGCTTTGTGTTTTGACTTAACATTTTGGAATTCTGTAGCCATTGCAGATATTGAGCTCGTGTCAGATATATAATTGGAGAAGATTTTCTCTCATGCAGTTGACTGTATCCTACCTGCTGATTGTTTGCTGTGGAACCTCTTTAACGTCTTGCATTCCCATTTGTCAGTTCTTGGGGAGCCCTTGCCGGTGCCTGTCTGCATCTTGGGGTCTCTTGTTTTTCTCTAGCAGTGCATTCAGAGTTTAAGGTCTCATCTTAAGGGCTTTGATTATATTGTGGACATGGTTTTGTGCAAAGTGATGGATTTACTGTCATCCTTTCCAATGTGGTTACCTGACTTTTCCAGCCATTGTGTTCATGGTGCTGACCTTTTCCAGTTACTTGACTGGTTATGGGCTAGAGAGGTGCACCAGAGGATAAAAGCACTGGCTGCTCTTCCCGAGAACTCTGGGTTCCGGATTCCTAGCAACCAAAGTGGTAACTCACACCACACTGTAGCTCCAGTGCCAGAGGATCTGACACCCTCTTCTGTCCACCACGGTGCACAGGCATGAGTGTAGGCAAAACACCCATACACATAAGATAAAGGTGAAGGAAAAAGCCCCAAGTAGTGGCCCACGCCTCTGATCCCAACACTGGGGAGGCAGAGGTGGGTGGTGGATCTCTGTGAATTCAAGGCCATCCTGGTCTACGTAGTGAGTTCCAGGACAGCCAGGACAATGTAGACAGACCCTGTCTCAAAACAACAAAATAAAACAAAATGAAGGAAGAAATTTTTCTTAAAGGTGGTTGTAGCTATATGAGTTTATTTCTGGCTGCTCTGTTCTGTTGTATTCCACTTGTCTCCGAGTCTGTTTTTCTGTCTTGGTCATGATGAACTCATGGTAGCTCTTTATTGTAATTTGAGATCAGATATTGTGATACTGCCAGTATTGCTTTCCCTGCCTAGGATTGCTTTGCTAGTTCTGTGAAGAATGCAACCGATGAGTGTGAACCTATAAATCACTCCTAGCAATACAATTATTTTTACATTATTAATTTTGCCTGTCTGTGAGTGTCTAGTTTTCTTTTCCATGTCCTTTTTCAGTGTCTTAAAGCTTTCTTTGTAGTGTTTTGTTTTGTTTTTTTTACTTCCTTGGTTAGGTTTATTGCTAGTTTTTTTTTTTTTTTTTTTGGTTGTTGTTGTTTTGTTTTTCTGTGTTTTAAAAAGCTTTAGTTTTTTTTTTCTCAGAAAGTTTGTTATGGGTATATAGGAAGTCTTCTAATCTTTGTTGATTTTGTTTCTTACTACCCTTCTGAAATACCAGATCTAAGTTTTCTTATAGAGGCTTTAGGGTCTTTTAAGATAATGCCATCTAGATTAAATAGACAATCTTTCTACTGCCGTCTTCTGCAATGATCCCTAAGCCTTAGGTCCACAAATTGTATTATAGATGTATCTGTTGGGACTGGGCACTACAACTCTGCTTTTTGGTTTTCTGTAATGGTCTCATTCTATTGTATAGGAAAATTTCCTTGATAAGGGATGAAGACACAGTTATCTTTGGGTAGAAGAACAAATATTTAGAATGTAGTTGAGATTATGTTGGTTTAGCAAAGTGGCAGTTGTAGGTTCTTCTCCAAGATCCATGGTTTCACTACCCCTGTGTAGTTGACAAGGCTTCCACCACTAGACATGATTTCTTTCTTGTTAAGTGTGTGGGCCTTAAGTCCAAGTTGAGAGTCAAGGTGTGTATAACCATTACTGCACTCATAGGGTTATTGTGCCACCCTGGTGGTGGTTGTAGTTCATAGGCATCATAGCCGGGTAGGACTGTCAGTTGCTACTCCTTCTGGTACCAAGAAAGCTGATCTACAGGGAGGAGGCTTTCAGCTCAGTTGCAGCTCAAGGGGCCTCTGGGCCCTGTGTCTTGTGTATTTAGCAACAAGGTCTTACTTATCTTCTACCTCTGAGGAGCATCCAAGGGCCGTAACAGTAGCTTGTGATGTATTGGGAGTCTCGTGAATAACCCTGACTAACAGAACTGAAAAGAGGGCTTATCATGCTTGGTGCTAGAGTGTTTGTTAGATGGTCTTTGCTTCTAGAAGGAGAATTGCTAGCCTAGGTGAGAGGATTTCATTTAGATTATGTATGTTTATATACTAACTTATGCTTACTATAGTTAATTTTTAGGTAGATAGTTAATAGCATGATTCCAACATTTTCAGAAATCTCACTGATATTAAATCCTCCTCCCTTCTTCTTTTGCAATAATTAGAGCCCTCACCCCAGTTTTCCCATTTCTCTCATCAGACCACTTGTACCCTTCTGTTCTCTATTGCGCCTCCATTTTCCCCAACCCGATAATGCCCCCTTTTCCTTTCCTGGTTTCTGTAGTTATTTCAGGTTGTACCTGTTGATAATCTCTGGTAACTCCTTAGTTAGCTCCTTAGTTATGCCCTTTGCTACGCCATTCTATGGTGTTTATATTTTCACAGCCTGTATAACCACGGTTTATTATCAGTCTTTCTTGCTGATTTTATATACTACCTACATTGGCTAACACAGTGCCTGTTACTTGCATGTAGTAGACATTCATCTAGCACGTGAAAATGGAAAGTTCTTCGTGTAGTTTGTATGTGATGAAGATGGGAGGCTAGAGAGGAAGTTTGTCCTTCTGGCTTGTTTTGGCATGGAGTTTCTGCTTCTCAACATTTGTCGCTTTGACAAGTTCTCATGGCTTCTCAGTTTTCAGTTTCGTTTGATACATCTTTAGATATTTTCTTTTTGCTAACTGGTGTTATTTGCCATTGAAAAAGCTTTGCTGATGACTTCTTACCCTCCACAGTTCTCAGTGAAGGGTTTTGCTCTGCTGTCTTCCCAGGTTTGTTTTCTAGGAGGGCATCTACAGCATCTTTACCTGTACAAGCTATTTTTTTTTGTGTGTTGATGATATTTCTCTTTAGTTAATAAGAAGATGAGGCCTTTGTTAAGTTTAATATAAATGATGGTGCCTTTTAATTTTTCTTCTTTTACACATACATAGATTTCTTTTGCTGATTTTCAGGTGGAGAAATTCTACAAGCCTCAAGGAAAACCAGTGTTATTTCCTTTTAATCTGGTGCTAGTCCTTTTTTCTTTTGGCCTAGATAACCTCAAAATCTCTGACTTTGGCTTGGCAACGGTGTTCCGGCATAATAACCGTGAACGCTTACTGAACAAGATGTGTGGTACTCTACCTTATGTCGCTCCAGAGCTTCTAAAGAGAAAGGAATTTCATGCAGAACCAGTTGATGTTTGGTCTTGTGGAATAGTACTTACTGCAATGTTGGCAGGAGGTAAGGCTGTTTAATCATGAGAAACCTTCTTTTCTCTGAAAGTTAGATTTCTCACACCAAAATAGAAATGAAATGATCCAATGGAATCTAATGCTGAAATAGAAAGGTTGTGAGCCCAGCCTTTAATGGCAGAGCCATCTCTCCAGCTATGTGATAGTTTAGTTTACTCTGGGCTGCAGCTACAAACTCATCCATATAGTTGAGTGCATTTTTTTTTTTTTTTTTTTTTTTTTGGTTTTTACGAGACAGGGTTTCTCTGTATTGTTTCGGAGGCTATCGGTCCAGCCTGGCCTCGAACGCACAAAGATCCGCCTGCCTCTGCCTCCCAAGTGCTGGGATTAAAGGCGTGCGCCACCACCGCCCGGCAGTTGAGTGCATTATAAACAGCAGATTTAATCTATTTCATACAAATTATGAAGGCTTGAGGTGTGGGTGATGAAGTTCAAGCATGGCCATATTCTGAGGGCCCTCTTCCTGCCTTGTAGTTGACCATCTTACTGAGAGGAGAAGCAGACTCTTTAGTGTCTTCATAAGCACCCAGATCCCACTTTTGAGGGCTTCCCTGCTCATGACCCAATCGCCCATCTCCACAGTCATCTGGATGGGAATGTGAGAGTGAGCAATCTGGCTGCTGCATCTTTCCCTTTGTTGATCGCTGGGGCTGATATGGCTGGCGAGGCTGGTGTTGCCTTCCTCTCCTGAAGTTGTGGGCTGGTTGAAGAGAACGACTTTCCCTGAATGGAGGAGGACCAGCCTTCAGTCAAGTGTATATGAGCATTATCTTAGGGATTAGGATTTCAGTATAAAATTTAGAGGGGAAACAAACATTTATTAACTCGTTATAAATTCACATCTTATTTCTAACTACCTTGAAACTTGTAACTGGGAGAGAGATTCATTTACATGAAGTACAGCTATAAAATGAAAACCTCAACACTTCTTTTGGGCTTGCTGGAGATTGAACCCAGGGCCTAATACCTACTAGGCAATCACTCTGCCATTAAACTGTATCAGACTTAGTGTGAAAACCACTAATTATGAATTATGGTAGAGGAAATGTGCATCCTTTTTATGTGCTGTTCATTTATCCTTAAGTGTGATTGTGATTATTTGTCCTTGAAATCTTTGTTACATAATTTTGTGAACACTCAGGAAACTGAAATCTTTTTTATTTTTAGAGTTGCCGTGGGACCAGCCCAGTGACAGCTGTCAGGAATATGCTGATTGGAAAGAAAAAAAAACCTATCTCAATCCTTGGAAAAAAATTGATTCTGCTCCTCTGGGTAACTGGTTTTTAGATTGAAAGTATTGATTTTGTGGGTAATGAAGTCTCATGCTAGCTGATTCCTTCCTTCCGTCCTCCCTTCCTCCCTTCCTCCCTTCCTCCCTCCCTCCCTCCCTCCCTCCCTCCCTCCCTCCCTTCCTTCCTTCCTTCCTCCCTCCCTTTCTTCCTTCCTTCTTTTTTTTTTTTTTTTTAATGTAAGTAGCCCATAGTCCTTTTAGCTAACTTAGAAGCTGTAAGTAAAAATTAAGAACGTGGTTGGAGTAGCGGCACACGTCTTTGATCCCAGCACTCAGGAAGCCGAGGCAGGCGATCTCTGAGCCTGCCTGGGATACATAGGGAGTTTCAAGCCATGCAGGACTGCACAGTGAAACCTCATCTCAAGAAGTAGAGTGGGGAAGAGGAAGGGTACAACTCTAATTGTAGGATTTGGAAATAGCCTTTTAAAGATGTTCTGATGTATGTGCCTCTTCTTACATGTAGAAAATGTATAGCAAGTGTATACTATCTATATTAGTTATAAGTATATACTTTTGTAAAAATTAAACCATAGTACTTACATTTCATAACACTTTGGTCTTGATACTCAGCATTTCCCATGTCTATAATCACGGGTCTGGATCACACTTTTAAGACTGAAGGTATTCATTATATATGTCTTATTCATCCAGTTTAGAGATTTAGGTGTTTTTCCTTTAATTTTACTTTTAGTGAGGAGGTATGATAAGCATCCATGTCACTTGATACTTGTGTATATCCTGTAATTATTTGCTTAAAATTTTTCCCTTGTCCCACAAGCAAAGCTGCAGGATTAAGAGGGTATGTATTCTTTTTTTTTCAGTGTTAGGGCTTATTTTACAAATTTACTTTTTAAAAAGTTTGTACCATTTCATCATTAATTTACTTTACTTTTTTTGTTATATTTTGAAACACTGGGTTTCATTATGTATCCCTGACTGGCCCAGAACTCACTGTTTAGTCCAGGCTGACTTTCAGAGAGAGTGGTCTAATCTCTGCTTACTGAATACTGGGATGGAATGTGTATGCCACCATGCCTTGCAAAAATAACTTTTTAACCAATAAATCTGTAACTGATATTGCTTCTTAAGTTTTATTTTAAATTTAGTATTAATAGTGAGTTGCCTACCTCCTTATGTAACTTATTAGCTTTTTCAGTTTTGCTTAGTTTTGGCAATAAAATTTATAGTTTTTCTTAAACCTTTGGGGTTTTTTCCAAAAATGTATTAATATTTATTTGACCATTGTGTTTGTTACAGTATTTCCTAGAATTTGTCTTTTAACTGTACTGATTATTTTAATATGCAGCATTTTAAAATTTTCATTATCTAAAATTTTATCATCTGTGGTTTCTGACTTATATTGCCATGTTTAGAAAGATTTTCTATCCCAATACGTTTTTCTTTTATTTAGTTTTTTTTGTGTGTGTCCTCATTTAGTATTTCTGTGGTTTAATTTTTACATTTTATTGTTGTTGGCGTTGATTTTGAACCAGTCTCATTTAGCCCAAGCTGATGCCTAAGCTCTACTGTGTGGCAGAGGATGACCTTGATCCTCCAGTTTCTCCCTCCAGATACTGGTATTCCGTTGCTAATATGCTTGGTTATTGGCTTTTGAAGGCAGTATCTATGTCAGCCCATGCTGGCCTGAAACTTAGACTGTGGTAATCCTTTCAGCCTCCAGACTGCTGCCACTACAGAGTCACTTTTCATCCCTGGTTTGCATTTTTGATGCTGGGAAGTATATGAGTCCTTTTTAAAATTAAAACATGTGACCTGGGCTGGCCCCCTTCTTAAACAGCCTTCCTGTGCTTCCCAAGTGTGCCGTGTGCCTGACTTTTGTGTCTTAAGTTTTGTTTAATCCGTTTAACTCTTATTTGTTTTTTATTTGTTTTCAGCTTTGCTTCATAAAATTTTAGTTGAGAATCCGTCAGCAAGGATTACCATCCCAGACATTAAAAAAGATAGATGGTACAACAAGCCACTTAACAGAGGTAAAAAAAAAATTACACTCATTTTCCTCTGTGAAACATGCTTAACAAAACACCTCAAATCCATGTCAGAACTCTGGTTTGTCCAAATGAAGATTTTAATATCTGATAGGAAAACACAAATTTGAAATTAGTTTTGTTCATTAACAACTAAAAAGAGTGCTGTAGCTCAATGATTGGTCGATGTCTAATGAAACAAGGAAGACTTTTCCTCATGACGAAATGATATGAAGCCTAAAATTTGAAGATTAAAAGGACCTAGCAGGCGAGGCATGTTTGATTCTTTGCAGAAGCAACAGCATTTGGACAAATATTAGATTTCATACGTTGAGTGTGTTTGAAGAACTTTAAAAAGGTCATCTCATTATGACATGGGCCTTGTGTTTTGTGTTCATCATTGACCAGTGGTTAACATGGTAATCGGTGTGTCGTAGGTACTCAGTAAGTGTTTGCTGAGTGAGTCATAGAGAAGTGGGAGAGTGAGGTTTGAGCTGATTCGGGAACTGCAGATAGCCAACTTATAGGAGGGCTTTATGAGCTATGCTAAGGATTTGTCCTGGAGCTTGCCACCATGAGGACAAGTTTGAGGGGCTTCAAAAAAGCAAAACAATGGCAAGTCGGTGTGTTTGGTTTTAAAAGATCTTTCTGAATACTCTTTCTATATTTTTAGTGAATAGAAGACATTAGTAACGTGGGCTTTTACAATAGTTGTTTAGATGTGAGAAGATGGTAGCTTGAAATACATTGTTTATGGCATTGCAGAAAAGTGATGGATTTCACCAAGTTCAAGAGCTTAATTGGTTGGATTGGTGAGTGCTTAGAAAAAGGATGGACTATACAGAGTCCATGGTGACTCCTGGGTGCTGTTCTGGTAACTCAGGAGGAGAAGCTTTGGAGCTGAGTAAATCTCTCTCTCTCTCTCTCTCTCTCTCTCTCTCTCTCTCTCTCTCTCTCTCTCTCTCTCTCTCTCTCTCTCTCTGTCTGTCTCTCTCTCTCTCTGTGTGTGTGTGTGTGTGTGTGTGTGTGTGTGTGTGTGTGTGTGTAATTACGGGGACTTTAAACCATATTAAGCTAACTGTGAGGAATGGCTATTTAAGTGGAAGGTAGAAACTAAGAAACAGAAAAAGTACCAAAAGGTGGATGGAACATTTGTAGAACATGAGGCAATGGAGACTGAGAATGTTCCGTGACAGTAGAGGTTTTGCTAAATGGATTAATAACTCAAAGGCTTATTAACTTTTCCACTGGATTCCATGATCTGGTGATGATCTTCGTAGGAATAGTTTCTATGGGGAGTGCTGAGTGAATTCTAGAGTTCAGTGATTGTGGTGTAAGAGACCAAGAATCAGAAAATGATGTTAGACAGCTCAGATACAGAGTTGGAGTGGAAGGAGAGAGGACAGTTGCCGAGAGAGGAACGAGGAATTTTTCTTTAGTTCTCTGAAATTCACCCACAGGATGTGGATGTCCTCCTTCCCACATCTTCGTGTCCTTGGGTCAAGCAGCAGGGCAGGTGTCCTCCTGACGCTTCACTTTTACTTTATCTTCCTAGTCTTCCTCCTCCTTTAAAAATCTCTTCATCATGTTGTGCTACCCACAGTTTCTATCTTATTACAGCAGCCTGCTGAGTCCCACGTTAAAATCCCTGCCATATTAAACATGGTCTCTAACAAGACTGCCCAACTTTAGTTTCACTGTGTGGCCCACACTCAACTGTTCTTGGGAGTCCTCCTGCCTCCTTCAGCCTCTGCGTGCTGAGGCCTATGGTCCTGTGCCACCATGATAAACTTTGTCATGGAGCTTGGCAATTGGGTATTCATTTGGATGATCTTTTCAGTATCCTAAGTCCTTGAGTTTTCCTCCTTTAGTCAAATTTAGACATCTTACTCTGACTGCCACTCTAGATTATTTCTGGCTTCTCCCCTCTTTTCAGTGCCGTGACTTCAACAATCCTTTGACTCTTGCTGGGCTTAGAATCTATTAATTCTGTCGTTTGACTGTCTGTTATATCCCTGGATGCTCATCAGTTCCTTCCTTAAAGTCACCTTCTGTTTATACTTACTAGACAAAATTCAACCCAACTTAGTCTAGTTTTTGCTCATTTCCTTTACTGGTACATCTGATTGTAGTTGGAGGAAGATGTTTGTGACAGGCAAACTCTCATCGTTTTAGTATATTGCTCAAGCTTTTATTTTTTCTTCCCCTTTTAAGTACAAAGTTTTACCACATAGCTCAGCCTGGTCTCCAGTTTACATCCTTCCCAAATGCTGCGATTACAAACGTGGTATCGTGCCTGTCTTTTTGTAAACTTTAACATACTCTCAGTTTAGAACAGTGTGCCCTGTTTAATGGGAAATAGGGGCAATGGACTTTGCAAGCTCCCGCCACCATCACTTCCCACCTGTCTCGTAGACCACTGAGTATCTGTTGCTGTGGATAAACTGTTAAACAGAAATCGACTCTTTCTCTTGCCTGCTTAGGGATATTGTTTAGCAATTGTCCTTCCTCATGCATTATTAATTTTTCTTCCTCTACTGGATCTTTTCATCACTGTGCCAACATAGTGTTTTTTTCATCCTAAAAATAGTTCAGTAAGCTAGATATTGTAGCTCTGCCTGTAATCCCAGCACTCAGGAGGAGGCTAAGGCAGGAGATCAGGTGTTCAAGGCCAGCCTGCACTGTGTGAGACTCCAATTCTATACAAGACCGTGGCAGTAACGACAACAAAGGAACATTGCATAAATATAGGTACAACTTTGTTACTCCTTGTTGACAGTCTCATTGTGTCCTAGTCTGACACTTAAAATGAATAGCCCAGACTGGTCAGACTGAAGGTAGTCTTGCCTGAGTGCTGGCCAGGGTTACTGGTGTGTATCACTGTGTGCGGCTGGAGCATCTCAGAAGAGGTGTGTGTGTGTGTGTGTGTGTGTGTGTGTGTGTGTGTGTGTGTGTGTGTGTGTGTGTGTGTGTGTGTGTGTATACACATACACATACCACAGCATAGCTGTAGATGTTTGGGAACAACTTTTTGGAGTTGGTTCTTACTTTCTGCCTCTGGGGACAAATCCAGGTCACTAGTCTTGTGTGGCAAATACCTTTGCCCACTGAGATGACTTTCAAAAGGTTTCTGATTTTTCACACCTCGAGCGTAGTTCCATGGAGTTTTCCTTCTGTGCACTCTTGTCACATCACACGTGGCTTATCTCACCTACCTAATCCAGCTCTCAAACTTTATCCTTTAGTTTGAACTGCAGCATTTTATACGATCGATCTTGCCTTCTTCAAGCACTGTCCTCTGACTTCCACATGGATCTATCACTTTATTTCATGTGTGTTAGTGTTTTGCTTGCATGTGTTTGTGTGTCACCTGTGTGCCCTGGAAGGCAGAAGAGGGCACTGGGTCCCCTGGGATTGGAGTTAGCAGATGGTTGTGGGCTGCCTTGTGGCTTCTGGGAACCACACCTGGCCCTTTCTAAGAAGAAGTGCCCTTAACTACTGAGCCGTCTCTCCAGCCTTTCCGTTAGGACTTAGTCTATCTATGCGTTGATGATGTAGCAATTTTCTATCAAGCATGATTTGTCCCAGACTGAGTTATTGGTCCCCCCACCCCCTTCAGACTTTTCTCTATTGTCTTTCCTTTTGGTTGATGAGAACTTACTATACAAATCAGAAACCATCTTCCATTTTCTCTTACTTCATGTACAGTCTACCAGGAAACTATTCTTCTCTATCTTTAAAAATTCCAAACTTCAAAATACACTATAAACTTGTTTGAAATTGTCAAAGAATAAATTAAAAAGTATTTTTAAAAAACATTCCAGAGTTGGGTGGTGGTGGCACATGCCTTTAATCCCAGCATTTGGGAGGCAAAGACAGGTGGATCTCTGAGTTCAAGGCTAACCTGGTCTACAGAGTGAGTTCCAGGACAGCCAGGGCTACACAGAGAAACCCTATCTCAAAAGCCAAAACAAAACCAAAAAACATTCCAGAGTCTGACCACCTTTATTGCAATCCTAACAGTGTCTTTCTAGAGTGTTCTGATTTTAAAAGAGGTTAGAAGTGAGTGAGGCATGATAGCTCATACCTGTAATCCTTGCACTGGGAGCTAAGACAGGAGGATTGGTCTATAGTCAAGCTACGTGTGGTATTGAGTTCTAGGCAAGCCTAAGCTGCAATGTGAGACTGTGTCTCAAAAAGGTCTGTTCAAAACATTCCAGTGCTTTACTTCTCACTGAGAAGCTGAGTGCTCATGATCTTCGAGGTCTTACAATCTGGTTTTTTTTTGCCTCTACCCCCCGATCTTAGCCAGAAGGCTGAGAAATGCTCTGTTATTACTTCTAGACTTCAAGACTGCTTTCCCTTCCCTGAGTTATAGATACATTGGTCCCTTCATTGTTTTCTCATCACCCAGGCACACATTTACCTCATTGTTTTAGTGATTCTGTGCCTGGGAATGCTTTCCCTGCCTGTCTGAGATTTATTTGCATGGATTGTTACCTTCCTCGGGCACTGGCCAATCAGCAAAACTTTCAAACTGTGCCCGCTTCCCCAGTGCATTTGTGTTATTTCAGTTCATTGTAGCTGGCAGCGGTACTGTACTAAGCTGTCTTTACTGAGTAGAATGTTAAGCTTTAGGAGGTTGGGGCTGGAGGGGTGACTCAGCAGTTTGATCACTGGCTGCTCTTACGGAGTACCTGGGTTTGATTCCAGCACCCACGTGGGGGTCCACACCCATGTGCAACTGAAACCCCAGGAGCTCTGACAGTCTTTGGCCTCTGAGGGTACTGTATTTGTGTGGTGCACAGACATGCAGACAAAACACATATTCACATAAAGGAAAAAAGTTTAAAAAGATTTAGGAGGTCAGTGTTTTTTTGTCAGTTTTGTTCACTATTGAATATCTACTACTGTGGTAATGCCTGGTATTACATAGCTCTGATAAAGAATTTTAGTGAATGAATTAATAAAAATGTTGATTAGCATTGATTAAGTGACTTTAGGGACAAATCTAATAGCTGTAGGTGTGCTCAGTGTTTTGATATCATGATCCAATGTTCATAAGCAGGAACTGCACAAGAGTTCAAATGTTTTAAGTAAGTTTATGATTTTGTATTGGACTGTATCTGTACCTATGCTTGGCTGAAAATGGCTGTGAGCTGAACTCACCTGCTGCAGGAAGAGGCTGGAACTTTTAAGAAAAGGGAAATGAGTGACAGAGCATCAGGATCAGGGTTTCTGAGGCAGATGTATGTCTGTGTCTGTGTGTGCGTGCTTGTGTGTTGAGGAAGGGGTAATGGACCCTCAGGACAAGTGCCAGGTTGACCTCTGAGGGGGGGATGCAAGGGGGAAGAGGGGCATAAGTATATTTGCAGTTGGTGTGACGTACTGCGTTAGTTCAGGTCTGTCGGCGTTATTTTTTTTAAAGTAGGATAGTATATCATGCTAAGTAATGAAGGAATGGAAGTAGGCATTGGTAATTTCAGAGGAGAATAGAAGTTTTGGAATACTTTTTAAGGAACTATGTGGTGACAGTGTAGCTGAGGAATGCAAGTGTAAAGTGGCTTCATTTCTGTATCATGACAGAAAGCTTCTTCAGGAGGTATCACTTGGAACAGATTCAGGGTTTACGCTCATAATCATAAGTTATTTAAAAATGTTGACCATCATGTTACTCATAGAAGAGGTCTTTAAAATTATGGCCTTAGTGAAGCACTAATGTAACATTTCTTTTTGTGTATTTTATGTTCAATAAATGGATTTAGATATGGCTCTACTTATTTAAATTGCCAGCTGTATTAGTTAATACTTTCATAGAAGATTTGTATTTGTTCCTTTTTAGGAGCTAAGAGGCCCCGTGCCACTTCAGGTGGTATGCCAGAGTCTTCTAGTGGATTCTCTAAGCACATTCATTCCAATTTGGACTTTTCTCCAGTAAATAATGCTTCCAGGTAAGAATTATAAAATTTCAATAATTTTGTTCCTTCCTCCCTTTCTTTCTTTCTTTCTTTCTTTCTTTCTTTCTTTCTTTCTTTCTCTCTTTTCTTTTTCTTTTTTTTTTTTTTTGAGATAGAGTATACTATGTAACCTTGATTGAATTGGAACTTGATAGCCCACATTGGTTTTGAACTTGTACTAATCCTCCTGTGTCTGCTTCCTGAGTGCTGGGATTCCAGGTGTATACCACCATGCATTGGCAGATTAAGTCATTTTTTAAAAAAATGTGATTATTCCCCAATAAGAATAAAACAATGTATATTTTACTTAATGTAAATAATTTCACCAAAAATGAGAACAGTTGTGTGATATAAGAAAGACCTGATGGGTTTTATTTAAAGACATTTTTAGTCTAACACTGTAGCACACAGGATATAATTACAGATAACTGCAAATTGGGAGGCCAAGTCAGGAAGATGGACAGTTGCAGACCAATCTAGGCAGCAAGATGGCAAGATGCAATCTTGTCTCAAAAATAAAAGAAAGAAAGAAAATACATAGTTAAAATGAATAAAACCACCTTAAAAACAATCAGACAATTAAAGACTTCTTTTTCCTTTCAGTGAAGAAAATGTGAAGTATTCTAGTTCCCAGCCAGAGCCACGGACAGGGCTTTCCTTGTGGGACAATGGTTCCTCATATGTTGACAAACTCGTCCAAGGCATCAGTTTCTCACAGCCTACATGTCCTGATCATATGCTTGTAAACAGTCAGTTACTTGGTACCCCCGGATCCTCACAGGTAAGGATTTAGTAGTTTTTCAAATAAATAACGGTTGCCTTTTATTTTTGTCGTCTTAAATCTTAGGTATATGGGATTAGTACTTTTAGTTGATACATATTATTTGGATAAGGAAGAAATAATCATAGAGGAGGCCTTTATGGGCGAGAATCCTGAGTCAAGGAAAAGAATTTCAGACTAAGTGCTGTAAACTGGTCACATGGAATTTATTCTGCTTTCTTCTTTGTGGTATAGAACCCCTGGCAGCGCTTGGTCAAAAGAATGACCCGTTTCTTCACCAAATTGGATGCAGACAAATCTTACCAGTGCCTGAAAGAGACCTTTGAGAAGTTGGGCTATCAGTGGAAGAAGAGTTGTATGAATCAGGTATGTTATGTTAGTTTTCAGTATTTCAGTTTTAACCATAGTAAATGAATAAAAGGTATCAGTAGTCACTGAATGTTTTGAAAATACAAGTAATTAATTTGAAAAAGGAACATTTGAAGGCTTTAAGGGTTATTTGTTTTTGTTTTTGTTCTTTTTCTGTGTCTAAAACCTCTACAGTTAGTATTTTTATATTAAACTGCAGTTGACAGCGTCCTTACCTCCATGTTTGGGTCTTGCGCTGGCTCTTAGCTGTGCCTTTTTTTTTCCACACCGGTCATCTTGCCTGAACTACTCTATAATCTGTGAGAATATTTAAAAAAACCCAAGTGAACAGGGATGGGGAACTGAAGTGGGAGCTGTCAGGATCTTCATTATCATCTTGTTGTTATTGCAGCTTTTCGGCCATAGGTACAGCTTCCTCTTTTCTTCCTTGTAATAGTCTTGTTTTCCTTCTCATATATGAGATTGATTGATTGACTACGGTATAGGGGAAAGAACTCAGGCCTTATATACATGCTAGGCCAGTGCTCTACCACCAAGCTTTATCTCTAGTCTTCGTTATATTCCTATTCCTTTCAGTTGTTTCCTTCTTCCAGTTCTGCTTTGTTACTAAAAGTTCGCTTAGTCTAAGTTCTACTTGCAGCTTGGTTTAGATTAGACGTTGGAGAGAGATACAGCAGTCTTTTTTTTTTTTTTTAAGATTTATTTTTACCCGTATGTGTGCTTGGCTGTGTCTGTGCATCTGTATGTCAGTGTCTGTTGTGGAGGCATCAGACCCTTTGGAGTTAGAATTACAGGCAATTGGGAGCCTCCTGACATGGGTGCTGAAAACGGAACTCAGGTCCTCTGGAGTAGTGAAGCATTAAGTGCTCTTGACCTGAGCTTCCTCTCTAGCCCTGTAATTTATGGTGTACTTCATGCCACTCCTGTCATGCAAGGATTTTAGTATACATTTTCATCCCAAAAGTATTACCGACCTGTTGATACAGATTTTTTTTTGTTAAGAGTATTTTCTATTCCTGTGTGTGTGTGGCTTGACCATATTTTTATTGCCTTAGGTTACTGTATCAACAACTGATAGAAGAAACAATAAGTTGATTTTCAAAATAAATTTGGTGGAAATGGATGAGAAGATACTGGTCGACTTCCGGCTTTCTAAGGTATTTTTTTGTCTGTTTTATTTATAGTATTTTTCCATGTGGAGTTTTAAATGGCTTGTGTGTTACACACAGCAGTTCACCCCTCTGCACTACTACTTCTTGGAGTTTTTAGGTTGAGCACAGTTGCGATTAGCATAATGAGTTCTTGTACTGTGTTGCCCTGTTTCCCAACTAGGACCCAAAGTTCCTTTTTGCCTAGAGTAAATATCTTATGCCTATTACTAATTTTGACTTTCATATTGACTGTCACAGAATTTCATGTTTTTGTTTGGTTTTGTTTTGTTTTGGGGTAGCAGTTACTTAGTAATGGCTCCAAAGTGTAAGGGTAATAATTCTGGCTATTCTATTCTAGAATATTTTTTACAATTGTTCTATTTTTACTAGTGATTGTGTTATTTTTACTATGACATATTTACAGATAAAACTATATTATAGCTGTGTATACATGGTATATAGGCCATGTAAAGTTTTATCCTATGTGGTTTCAGACCCCCGCAGAAAGTTTTGGATTATAGCCACATGAATATGTGATTAGTTATTTGGCATTTGTAAATACACTATAACTTGCTTATTTTCATTTAGCATTATAAACTTTGGTTTTTGTCATCATCTATTTTTCTAAAGTATTGTTTGTTCCTCTCTTTTCTTTTTTCCTGACACCTTCCTTAGTATAAGGGACTGTGGGTGTAGTGCAGTTTGTAGAGTGCTTCCTTAGTATAAGGGACTGTGGGTGTAGTGCAGTTTGTAGAGTGCTTCCTTAGTATGCTCTGGGTTCGATCCCCAGCACCAGATAAAGCATATGCCTGTATTTCTAGCACCCAGTAGGGAATGGGATCAGAAATTCAAGCCCATCCGAGGCTACAGAGCTAGTATGAGGCCCTACATGGGATTTTGATCCCTCCTCAAAATTGTGTGTGTGTGTGTAATATACAGAGAAGTAAAGAGTAAAAGAATAAAAATAATTTTAACTTGCACTTCCTAATAGTTATTATTGGTTATACTTTGGAATACTCAAATTATTTTGATTCATATACAATATCTGTCTGTTTAAAAAAAGTTAGGACATTAGGGGCCAGAGAGATGAATCAGTAAGTTAAGAGCACTGGCTTCGGTTCCAGAAGACTAGGGTTCAATTCCCAGCACCCATATGGCAGTTTACAACTGTCTGTAACTCAAAGATCTGTCACTCTCACCCAGACATACATGCAGGCAAAATACCAATACATATAAAATGATATTAAAAACTATCTTTTAAAGTAGTTCTGACATTAAAAAGCTTGCACATTATAATATAATGAACCTCATTAATTTTGTGACTGATATCACGATTTACTCACCTATTATTTTTAGTTTTAAAGCCTATTCTGTATAAAACCAAACCAGTATAATATGTTTCCTGAGAATTTATATGCGGCTCTAGGATTGGTTGAAGTGTAATTCACATTCTTTATATTGGAGATTAGTTGGAGTATTCTTTTCTAGATTCTTTGTATGTAATTACATTGTGAAGGCTTCTCTATTGAAACTATTGTCATAACTGAGTTTAGTGGACTTTTTTGTGATAAAACTGTGTCAAGACTTCAGTGTCCCTTGTTTTTAGTTCACAAACTCCTGCTGCTTATGGAAAACAATTGGTGTAGGTCCCTAGGTACTAACCCTTGAAATAGAAAAAAATGCTATTATTCTCTTTCTCTGCTCAGTGTGGTGGGAAAGTGAAGAGAACATAGTCAGGTGAGAATTACCTATGTAGCCATTTCCTCCAGCATAGTTGGTCTTCACAAGTGGACTGGACTCAGGTTGCATTTAATAAATTATTAATGAAGAACCCATAAGTTGTTATGATAGCCTGCTCAAGTAAGTCAGAATGCTATAGATTTATATGGAATGAGTAACTAACCTGGAGTGGTGCATACCTGCAATCCTATATTCTCAGAAGAACAGGGGAAGGGAAAAAAAGAAGACACAAGGGCTGGACGTGGTATCTGAGGGTGTTTGTTTCTACTGATCAGAAATGAGAACATGATCTTTGACTGACACAGCCTTTTTTTTTTATTTTTACAATATTATTTCTAAAATAGGGCGATGGATTAGAGTTTAAGAGACACTTCCTGAAGATTAAAGGGAAGCTTGGTGATATTGTGAGCAGCCAGAAGGTTTGGTTTCCTGCTACATGATGAAGCTGTCAGCTCTGGAGATTCCTGGTGAATATAGTGCTGCTATGTTGACATTATTCTTCCTAGAGAAGATTGTCCTGTTCTGCAAACTGCAAACAATAGTTTTTTGAAGAATTCTCTTCCTATTACCCAAACATCTTCCAATTCTTAGTATGTTTTATATACATATAATACTGTATCTTAATTGTATGTAATACTTTGGGGAAAAGATGGATCAAATTCATTAGGTGTTTCTCCAGCTGTTTTTAAATTGTCTGAATTTGAAACCTATCTGGTAGAAACCAAGTTTTGGGATACATGAGTTTGCCAGCTTTTATACCAATGTAGTATCACTTCTGAAAAAAAAGTCAGAACATTTTGTTTCATCCTAAGAAAACATATTTCTTCTTTGCTATTTAATTGTAAGGATTGTAAGGATGAATAAACAAAGACCATTGCTCAGTGCAGCTGAATGGTCCTTGGAGTGAGACCTGCTACAAAAAAATGTATCCCAAGATATGTACTATATTTTCAGTTTGGGTGTATGTGCTACACCAGGACTTGGCCAGTTATATAAAACTGTTTTTGAGTTACAATGATTAAAATTACAAGATTTTTTTTTCTGGTGTAGCTAGTCAAATATAAAGTACTGGTTGTCTTTCAAGAAGTTGTGCATAAGCTCTCGTGCTTATTTTTTAAAATTACACACTTGGATGATTTTTTTACACTCACAACCATATTCTTACTCTACAAATAAATTCTATTTTCAAAATCAATACTTTACTCAGTAAACTTATTGGCCTCAAGTTTCTAGATGACACTGACTGAAAAGGAGACGGGGAGTAAGGAAACACACGAATAGGCCTGGTTGTTGTTCCTCGCCTTCTAGACTCACTAAAGCTTTGTTTTGTTCATGAAATTTATATTAAAATATGAATTATATGATTGGGGTCTTGTATTCCTTTTTGTAGATAAATAACAATGAGTCTGAAGCTAAGAACACTTACAATTTTATGGCTAAAGTTTGTTACATATTGGTGTATGCCAGCATACTTACCTGTCCTATACACAGAAGTAAACCCGAACCTAATTTATTCAGTCTCCTGTTTTCCACATTGTAGTACCACTGTGGTTAAAATCAGTCATCTTTTTAAGACTGTTACTTATTCCTTGTTGTTGTATTTTCTGGAAAAGCTGTCCAAATGATCCTTCTACAGTATAGATCAGATCCCTGGCCCACTCCCACATTTACAACTTTTCATCACTGAAAATTCCAAGTTGGTCTGAGGTGTACAGTTCTGTGTGACTGTCTCTTCCTCTGATGTTACGGAGTACTGTGTCCAGAGCCTGTGTCTGAAATCATGACTCATTGCTTCCTGCCAGCCCTTCACAGCCACCATTTTGCTTTTTGTCTCCATGAATTTCAATGCTCCTGTACTTACCATAAATAGAACTGTGTATTTGTTTCTTTGTGTTTGATCTATTTCACACTTGTGTTTTCAGGATTTATCTATGTTATAACATATATCAGATTTCATTTCTTTCTGCGACTAACATTCCACAGTGCACGTGTATGCATGTATGCGTGTGTTGTGTGAGCACGCGAGCACCACATACTTGATCATGTATGTTTGGATTGTTGCTACCTTTTGTCCACTGTAAATGATACTGGTTTGGAAATAGATATATAAATATCTGCTCAAGTCTCTGTTTTTAATTATTTTGTGTGTATACCCAGAGGTAGAATTTCTAGTTGATGTGATAATTGTATTTTTGATATATTCAGGCACTGTAATATTGTTTGCCATAGTAGCTATGTTATTTTTATTGTTGTTATCTTTTCTCGTAAAGTAGAACAATCTATTTAAACCTCCCCCCCCCCAACCAGATTTCTATAATATATAACAGTCCTGGCTGCCCTGCAACTCACTCTGTAGACCAGGCTGGCCTCAAACTCACAGAGATCCATCCTGAGTGCTGGGATTAAAGGCGTGCACCACCACCCAGCAACTAGTTAAAATTAATAACAACTTTTTTTTTTTTTAAAGAGATAGGGTCTGACTATGCAGGCTGGCTTTGAACTCACTATCTGTCTTAGGCTGGTTATTTTCCCCTCCTGCCTTAGTGACTCAAGTACTGGGATTACATAGTATGCCTAACCTAACTTGACTGTGACAGAACAACTATATTTACAGCTGCGTTATCCTTCCCATTTAATTTTATTAATATCAAAAAGTATATCTTTAAATGTATGTACACTACAATAGATCTATGTTTTCCTTTTTCTTTTGTTCTTTTGAAGCAGGATTTCATGTAATATAGACTGGCCTTTAATTTGCTCTCTATGAAAGGATGGCTTTGAACTTCTCATCTTCCTGTCCCCACCTCTCAAGAGCTGGGATTACACAGGAGTGGTGCCACGCCTTGGAGGGACAGCTGATAGCTATCTTCCATAGACTTGGCTTTTAAATACTTGTTGTTACATTTTTGTTGTTCCTGCTGGAGATCCATCCTAGGGCCACATTCAAGCCAGGTAAGCACTTTATCATTGAACCGTATCCTTAAGCTAGGATTTTTATGATTGTCTTTTCAGAGGTCTTTATATCATAGTTTTTTTGTTTGTGTTTCTTATGTTGTCTAGCATCCTTTCATTTCAAGTTGAAGGACCATCTTTAGCATTTCTTACATAGCAGGTATAGTTACAATCCACTCCTTTAGTTCACCCTCTGTGAATGTTAATTTGCCTTCATTTCCAAGGGTCAGTTTTGTTTTATCAGACACTGAAGTTTTAGTTGATAGTCTTCAGCCATTTTTTTTTTTCTTTCAGTAATGTATATATTACTTCACTGCCTTTTGGCCTACAAGGTTTCTGCTTAGAAATTTAAAAAAATTTTTAAGTCACTTTTGGGACAGGGTGACACTGTTTGGTCCACAGTGACTTGGGCCTCACTGATAGTCCAGGCCCACACTAAACTTGCAACTCCTCAGCCTCAGCCTCGTATACCACTGTATCTAGCTAACGGAGAATCATATTTAGGATCCTTTCTCTTCAGTGAGTTACTTGAATGCTTTCAAGAGTCCTATTTTGTCTTTATTTGTTGACAGTCTTTTGACAGTATGTATGTCTCAGTGTGGTTCTCCTGGGTTACCATCCCTAGAGTTCATCGAGTTCTCTGTATTTGTAGGTCCATGTCTGTCTTCTGATTTGGAAGAATTTCATCCAAATGCTGTCTGTCTATTCTTTGTCTCGTGGGATCCCAAATACTAACTGCTTGACAGTGTCTTTTAAATCAGTTAGATTGTTTACTTCAGCCCTGCCCCCATCCCTTTATTTAATCTTAAGTCACCTGTCCTGAGAGTTGCTAGTGATGGGATAGGTTCAGTGGTAGAACACCTGCCTAACACGAGTACTGAAGCCTTAGACTTAATCCCCAGAACTGAAGAAAGAAGTTGCTGACTCTTAATTTAAATCTGCTTTGAACTCTTCTAGCCCTGATACTGTTGCTTTACATATTGTTTTCCGATTACTCAGTTCTTTGAGTGAAACCTGTTGTTCTTTGAGCAAGGTTGAAACTCTTGATTTAAAATATGTTTTGTTTCTCTTGCCCTTTTTTTTTTTTTTTTTTTTTTGAGACCCATTTGCCTGTGTAGTCCTGGCTGTCTGGGAGCTTGCTCTGTAGACACTAGGCAGGCCTTGAACCCAGAGATCCTTTGCCTCTAACTCTAGAGTGCTGGGGTTAAAGGTTTGCACCACCACTGCCTGGCTAAAATCTGTTTCTTTAGAGATTGTTCAGTTTCAGTACAGTCATTTTCTTTATTTGCATGTCTTGCAATAATTTTGTGGAGAGTTTGGCACTGGAGACCTGGAGATAGGGTGCAGTGGTTCAGAGAGTTGGCTGTTCTTGCAGAGCATGCAAATTCAGTTCCCAGCACTCAGAGGACAGCTCACAGCCTATAGCTAGCTCCAGGGACTCCCAACACACTCTTCTGGACTCCGTGGGCACTTGCACTCAAGTGTACATACTCATCCATACAAATCTACACTCATAATGACAACATAGTAAAAATAAAATTTTAAAATTTGTTTTTTGCTTGAAAAACAAACACTTCTCTTAAGTTGCTTTGTCTAAAACAGACCACATCGTAATAGCAAGGCATGTTTTGAGTCTTCAGATGAAGCTGCGGTGAGGGTTAGTATCATCTCTGGTCTCGCTTTACTTTTTTCAGTTCCTCTGTGTATATAGCTGCTTAATCTGCTTAACTGTCACATAAGTACATTGTTGCCTATTATGGGAGGAACAGGCTTATATAGGGCTGGCATTTTTTTCATGGATGCTGGGTTTTGAATTCAGGTCTTTCTGCTTGAGGGGCAGACACTTCACTAGTCTCAGAAGATAGCTTCTCCTGTAGCATAGATTAGCCTAGAATTTGTGATTGATTGGCTTGACTTCATCTTCCAAGCATTGGGATCAGTTTACATATCATGTTGTATTCCTCTGGCCAGGTTGTACCTGTCTTTAGTCCCTCTCTCTGTAGCTTCATTCATTGTTTCCCATGGTATTTCCCAACTTGAGATCCCAGCAGTTTTGTTTGTCCTTAAGTGAACTCTTAAATTAGGAGAAATAGACCTCTTAGCAGTCTCCCAAAGGGCTAGAAGGTTGCAAATAAGGCTTGTTCCCACAGTTGGAGAACAGGTTTTGACAACTAGGCTCTTGCTCCCTAAGTATGGCTTGCTCTTTCGAGGGTAGAACAAAAGCCAGTAATGCCAGCTTTTGTATTTTATTCTCTTTAAGTATTTTGACTCTTGTGTGCCTTCAGTTTTCTGTTTATCTTGCTATATATGGATCTGTAAGCTTACTCTTCATCCAATATGGGCATAGTCTAGCTGTTACTTAAATGCTAAAGTGTTTGGTAACAATTCATTGTTGAAGCTTTGTTCCTTTCTTCCAATTGGATATTAACTGATTTATCTTCACATTGAGTAATGTCTTATATGGGCCGAATACCCTGTTAAAATCACCTAGTGATATTTTTCCACTTATTTTACTTAGCTGTTGTCTCAGTCTTTTTGTTTTTTGTTTCCCCTTTAGGCTTATAAATTTGTCTTAACTGCCTTTTTCCTCCCTTGACTACTAGTTATATAGTTCCTTGCCTTTCCTATGCCAATAAGTTATTATGTAGTAGATGCTGAATTGTAGAGATTCTGGATGCTGTATTTTCCTGTGAAGAGTCCTGGCTTTTGCTTTAGTGGACATTAGCATGGAGGACTTGCATTACACAGCAGATTTCTGCTCTGTTCTTTCAGTTTTCAGATACTACTGTTATTGGGCTTCTTGGAATTCAGAAGATCAGCCAAGAAATTGGTCAGAGTAGATCCTCAGTTGAGTTTCTTTCCTGTGGCTCTTTTCTCCAGCAATTTTCCCAGTTTACAGCTACTTAAGCAGCCCTAGCCAGTATTCTTTGAAGCCTCTGACCACTGACTGGGGTTTTTGCCCACATGTGTTGAAAGTTAATCATGCAGAAGCCCACAGATCTCTCAGTGCTGTTTTTGTTTGTAGTGACTTCTCTATTTCAAGAGAATTTTTGAAGCTTTTTTACTTCTTTTTGATTGAGTATATAATGTATATAATTGTGATGTTAGGTCCTCAAAGGTGAAAGCCAAAACTCTCTTAGCTTTTAATAACAGTTGAATTTATATTTTCCCAATGCTGTCTGTATAGCTAGTAGATCTTTATCCCCTCCCCTCAAAGAGACCAGTTGTATCAACTGTTAACAAGAGTTCATTTTTCATCTTGTTTCTCTGTAAACCATATGTCAAATTGAGGATTCTACATTTTAGTTTCAGGCCATATTTTTTTTTAAAGATTTGTTTATTGATTATGTATACAGTGTTTTGCATGCATGCAAGAAGAGGACACCAGATTGCCAGATGGTTGTGAGCTACCATGTGGTTTTTGGGAATTGAACTCAGGTCCTCTGGAAGAGTAGCCAGTGCTCTTAACCTCTGAGCCATCTCTTCAGCACCTCTCAGACCATAATTTTTAAATTCCATTTGATCTAAAGATAGGATTATATGTTCAAAATTTCTTTCAGCCTAGATTTGTTATCAATGGAACCTGTTACTTAGGTGGTTTTTGAGAAGGGCCATTTGTGTGTGTGTGTGTGTGTGTGTGTGTGTGTGTGTGTCTTTCTTTACATTCTCTGTAACTGACACTGTTTTAATGAGGTATAGGAGTTCTTAATGCATGGTAGATAACTCATACTTACGATGGTACACATGGGAGGTTGAGTCAGAAGAATTGCTACAAATTTGAGACCAGTCTGGAGCTACGTAGTAAATTCTATGTTAGCTTGGACTACAGAGTAAGATCTCTCAAAATAAAACAAAACAAAAAACCTAGTCATGATACCAAAAGCTTTAATATTTAAAAAGTGGTAAATTATTTTATTGAAATTAAAGTCTGTTACTTTGCAATGTACAAGACCAGCAGCTGTTCTTGAGCCTTCAGTCACGTGGGAGTGATGGATAAAAGGAGATGTGTGTAGGAAGGGAGGGTTTTTTTGTTTTGTTTTTGTTTTGAAAAAACACCCTGGTTCTATGATGTTTAATGTGAAGACTCACTTTGAGGTCATGCAGATTTGGTTTTGGATCCAGCTGTGGGTCTCACTAGTTCTGTAACCTTAGTCAATTTGTAATAATGTGAAGTCTAAATAAATAATAAATCTTATGTGTCACATTTTCTTATTTGTGGAGTAAGGATGATGCTATCTTTTCTAACTACCCTCTGACTCTCTCCTGAGAATAAGCAGCAACCATGCACTTGAAAACACCTGGAGGTGTTCAGTATCCTACCTGCTCCTCTACGATGATTTAAGTATTACAGATTGCTTAAATGAAAAGTATTTTGTTTCCGTTATGTTCATAGTGGACTATTGAAGACCAAAACGCTCAAAAAGAAAAGGATTGAGTTGTGTCTACTACAACTAGAAAGGTGTGGGGGACAGACCTATAGATTGCTTATGATCCATGGAAGATTGATGTGTACTTTGTATTAACCTGTTATATCTAACCCAGGAGACCTCTTCAGCTTTCATAAATGATTATGCAAAACATTCCCTTTATTTGGTTTTGGAAAGAAACAATTTTGCAACTAGACTGATGAAAAACAATCTTACCGAAGCCTGCGTTCTTTAACAATAGGGATTTATTGCAAAAAAAAAAAAATCTGGGGAAGGAGGGGAGCAAGGAGGTCAGAGGACATAAGGGTTGAGCTTCTTGTCTCATCAGGCAGAGACAGATGTGATCAGTCGAAGATGAATACAAATTGAGTCAAGTAGAGTGGTGAAGTTGCCTGAGTCAGAGCAAGAAGTGGGGGCACAGACTCCTAGATCTTGTTGCAGAGAGGTTCGTTCCGACAGCACATAATTTGCATTCTTGTTCCATGAGAGAAGAGGTTCATAGATGGGCACATGTTCTCACACCCTTGAACCATGAACTGGAGTTTTCCACCTGGAAAGAGAAGAATCAGACTGGCGTTAGCAGAAAGAAAGCTGCTTCTCCCAACCTCCCAGGACTTCTGTGTTTATTTTCTTATCCCTTTCCTTCAGTCCGCTTTCTTTACCAGCTGTCCATTCCGGTTGTTTGCGCCTCCATTTCCTTCCTCTCGTAGGAAAGTTTCATCAAGCTCAATATTCTCTCTTGACCATGCTACTCTTCCTGCCAGTATTCTTCACTACAAACCTAGCGAGCTGGCTAGCATCCCCCCTTCTCATTCACATCTGAACCCAGGTACTCAGAATTTAAACTTTTCTTTCAAAGATACACCAGAAAAATTCTTAGTCACATTCCATAGCCATTTTCCAAGCCTTCCCCCTACCATTTCTGCTTGAAGTTGATACTGTTTACCCCTTTCTTGACACTCTTCTGTCAAGGTTTCTCCCAATTAATTGTCTGTCTTCTGTTTCTCTGAGTCCAGTTATCTCTACTGACCCAAGTCAAATCCCCTTTTCATGCAGGTAATACAACTAAAATTTACCTGTCCCAAATGGAACTCTACCTATTTGCTTTCCTGATTAATCTTACTCTGCCTTTGACAGTCTTAGATGATTTTGCTTTGACCAATCAACTTTCTTATTTTCTTCTACTCCTCTACTTGTCAAACCCAAAAGAACTTGCTGTATTTCCTATCTACATCTTATATTCCTGATTTGGCTTTGGTGTTTGTTTTTGGCATGTCTCTGCAGAGTGAGTGACTGAATCCGTAGTTCTCTTCATTTCTGGTATTTCATTGGTATAAGATAAACATTAGAATTTTTATTTTTTGGTATTTTTAATGTTTATTGTGTGTGTGTGTATGTATGTATGTGTGTGTGGAGGGCATGTACGTATGAAGGTCAGAGGACAATTGTAAGAGTTGTTCCTCCCTGCTATGTGAGTTGCTGTGATATGACTCACATCATTAGCCTTGGTGGGCAAGCACCCTACTCACTGAACCATCTTGCAGGTTCTGAACATTAGGATTTGAAAAAGCTGCTTGGGTGATTCTAAGGTGTCAGCCAAACTGGGTACTAGTGGATTTTCCAAGTTCTTTCTGAAGACCCTCTGCTTTCCAGACTTAGCTTCTTTCCTGTGCCTTTCAGCACTCTATGCTTTGCCCCTTTTCTTTAGACATGGTTTGGTTTTGCTGTGTAGCCTCCCAAGTCCTGAGAAAAGGCATCAACACTCCACTTTTCCCTGTAATTTTCTTATGTTAGACCACAGCCTTTCTGTACACTTTGTATTTGAGCATCTTTCTGAAAGACTTGCAGTATGTATTGTTTATTCAGTAATGGTTAATTGTATAATATAGAAATGCAGGGAGACTATTTCTGTCAAGGGGTTGGACAAACCAGAGCCAGGCAGTGTGGTTCGTGGGATGGAAGTAACCAAGACTCCTTGTTTGGAGATGAGTACTAAGTTTAAAGGTTGAGGAAATGTGAGATTACACACTCAGTTTTGTCATCTTGTGCACACAGGTCTATGGACAGTTGTTGGTTTATTCAGGGTCTACTAAAAGCCTACCATTTGTTAGACATTGTACTATGTCCTAAGAAGATACACTCATGAACAAACTAGACAGTTCTGATTATAGTTAGTATGTAAGTAGCTTAAGGAACAACTTCAATGTTTCTTTATTCTGAAGAAAGCCTCTTTTCAATTCCTCCCCCCTCCCCCAAGAGCCTGTCAGTACTTAGAATTCTCCTCAGTTCTTGAAGGAATGAAGTTTTCTGAATCTCCAAATTCATTGATTCTTGCTGCCCCACCCCCACCATTTTTATTTAAAAGATGGTTGATGTGCTCTCTGGCAGGTTTACCCCAGTTAGTTCCTACTACCTTCAAAGATATTTTTTAACATACCTTCAAAGATCTTTTTTAACATGCACTGCTGGGAATTTTGAGTGGTGCATACTCCTTCTCCACGAAGACATTTTGCATCATCGTTCATATAAGCACACGTGTGGCAGTTTATTGCCACACCTGGAATTTGAGAAAAGCCTGATGAAATTTCCCGGCAGACTACTTAGTTGTGTCACACATGGGGAGTAGGAATTGCAAAAGGTAAACATCTTTCTTAGTTCTTTCAGGGAGTACTGGGGATTAAACCTCTAGGGCCTTAGGCAAGTGCTCTGCCACTGAGCTACACCCCCAGTCCCTCTGTCCCTCCTAACTCCTCCCTCTCCTTTATTGGAGACAAGATCTTGCTTAGTTGCCCAGTGATGGGATTGCAAGTGTGGACTACCGTGTTCCCTTTTCTGAACTTTGTCTTATTTCGTTGTAATCTTATTACTAATGAATATTAAATTTATCGGAGTGGCTTTTACTCTGGCTTCTTAAATTTGTAAGTAAATGCCCTTCTTCCATGCTTTACTTCATAAGAAAAAACTTAGATAACTGTTAAGACAAACACACTGGGGGCCAGTTTAATCAGTAAGCATGCTAGAATGCTAGAATGTTGCCAGCCCTGTAAAGAGTGCCCCTCTCCTCCCTCTTTTCCCCTCCCTTACCTCTTTCCCTCCTTTCCTTCCCTCCTTATCCTCCCTCCCTTCCCTTCCCCCCTCCTTCCCTTCCCCTTCCCTCCTCTCCCTCCCACCCTCCTCTCCAACCTCCCCCCACCCTCCCTTTCCTCCAGGATGTGTGCGTGTGTGTTTTGAGATAGGGATTGAGTATTTAATCCAATCTGACCTCATAGTCATACCGATCCTCCTGCCTCAGCTTCTCAAGTACTGAAATAACAGACATGAACCAGGGGCAGTTCCTGTTTCCAGACTTATCTTGATCAGTGACAACACTGTGAATGCTTCTGCATCCTTATGCTATCTCTAGTGCTAAGCCCTATCGAGAAGCATAAAGCAGAGCAGAGAACCTTCAAGCAGACCTGAGTTTAATTTACTACTTTCTAAAAATTTGGAATAATAAACATAATTGGGTGAAATGAACTATTTTATCTGATAGTGATTTGAGATATCAAACTTTAGATTTTTTTTTTCTACTGTGAATGGAGCATGTATGGAAGTCAGGACAACTGTGAGTCGCTTCCCTTCTACAATGTGAGCCTTGGCTGTTGAGCTCAGGTTGTGATACTTGACTGCAGATGTCACCACTGAGCCACCCTTCTGATCCTTCCTAAGTTCTTAGGAAGAATGGAGTTGGAGAGTCTAGTAGTACTTTATATTGATGTTATTTTTCTTCAAAGAGGGTTCTCAAGATTGTGTTACATTTAGGGCCATATGAAACCTGGAACGTGCCTCCTGATACTGTGATCTTCAACAGAGCTGTTTGTGACATATCAATGATTCTTTTACACTGCTTCTCAACAATTGAGTTCCTGATGTGTTCCCCCCTCACCTCCTTCCTTTCTTCTTCTCACCTCCCTCTGTCTTCTCTTCCCTATTGGAGACAGGGTATTGCTTGGTTGCTGAGGCTTCCATTGAAGTGTGTAGCCCAGGCTGACCCCAGCCTCTAGTCAAAAGGCCTTCCACTGTGGCTTACCTGAAGACGTGCTTGGAAATGGTGTACTCAGAGCCTCATTCTTTTCACCTGACTCTCCAGCGGCCTGCTCGCTCGCCTCCTCAGTCTTCTCACCTGTAACCTGTTCAGCAGACGCTTCTGCTTCGGACTGTTCTGAAGGTTCTCCCGAAGTGTGCTCGCCTGAAGTGTGCTCGCCTGAAGTGTGCTCGCCCGTGATGTGTTCTCCTGTAATATGCTCTCCTGTAATATGCTTGCTTGACATATGCTCACCTGCCATATGTTCTGAAACTGTTCTCCTGAAGTATGCTCACCTGAAGTGTGTTCTCCAGCAGTATGCTCACTTGATTCATGTTCGCTTGAACTGTGATCAGTCAGAGCTTTCTCACCTGAAGGAGTTTCATATAAAGACTCGACGTCCGCAGGGTTTGAGAGTGAGAAATACTCACTTGAAAGTTGCTGAACAGAAGCTTGGTGGTCCACAGAGTCAAGGAGCTCATCAGGCTGGCCTGGTGGTGCTCCTAGGATGGAGAAGAGATAGAAGAATGGCGAAGATGAAAGAATGGGATCAAGACTGAGTTCCTGTGGAGCCAGACAAGTGGGGCTGCTGGTTTCTTGGCCAGTCTAGATGAGACAATTTAGATGTTGGGGGAAGTCATCTCACTACTCCAGGAGACCAGGAAAGACAAAACTGAAAGTTTGGAGACCACTTCTGAGACTTAGAGACACAAGAAGTACATGTGAGATCCTCTCACCTAAGCATGAAAAGCACATGAAGGGAAATAAATGTCCCTCTCTAACAAAACCAGAATCAGAAAGAACCCTTCTTCCAATTCCTCTGTGGGTACGAGGCAAGAAGACTAGAAATAGGGAGAGAGAAGGCAAATGATCCTTTTCCTCCATAACGGTCTGGCTATGAGATCCTGACTGGCTTCAAACTCTGCTTCTCGAGTGCTGGCACCAGTAGCTTTCAATACTGAGTAATTCCATCCTAAATTGAGGTTAGCTGCTTTTCTGCTTCTAGTGATAGGACACAGTTTTACTCAGCAGTAGAAGACTTTAATCTTTGGCTAGGGTAAACTTTAAGCTAGAAGATGATAGCACAAAATGAATCTACAAAAATTACCAGAAGGGATTTGAGCTGTGTTGGTAAAGTGCTGACTCACCAGTCACAAGTGTTGAGAGAAGCAGGAGTGTGTTAGGCCGGTGGGCCCTTTGCTGTAACTAGGAGAAATCGGGTGGTATAGGAGTGTTCAGAGTTCCTTTTGCTTAGTTAACTCTTGATTCCGAGTCAGGTTGCTTTGTGTAACTAAGACTGGTCTTCCTTGAAGGGGACAGAAATTCCTTAAAAGAAGCCCCCCCTCTGATGTCCACCCAGGGTTTGTGTTTAAAGAGAACACTTACCTCTGGCAGATCCAAGCAGATAAAGAAACAGGAAGATTAACTCCTTCATTTTGATTTAGGAAAAGAGAGATCTCTAGTGTGGCACACTCAAGAGCTGAGAAGAGACTGAACAGACACTCCCAGTGTTGAATCAGAACCTCTGGGAATTCTAGAACTTGAGAAACAACTCATGCGTCCTCACAATGGTTTTTGACTTTTATGTCCTGTTCAGGCAGGCTGGCCTGTAACCCATGGCGATGGCACTAGTGAAGGGTAGTGAGTATTTTCTGTGTGTAGGATGGTGCTAGAAGTATCTTCAAAACAACAACAACAACAAAAATGTTACCAAAACGCACACATTCTCTTAGTAAAGTTGAAAAGAGAGTTGTCACAGTGAACTCTAGTTCCCTAGTTAGTTTCTGTTTGGGTAAGTAGGCATTTCATGGCTCTGGTCTGTACTCTGGAAGACTGAACTCAGCTGAGTGCTGGTGGGTTTGAATTCAGACTGGGGTTAGTCATAAGATTGGAGGGCAGAAGGTGCCACAGCTGCCACAGGCTGTGTCTTCACACCTCAGAGGTCTCCTTGGGTGGCCTTTCTCATGACCCCAACTTTGACTAGGCCATAGTAACATGCTTTCTCCCTTTGTACTTCAATTTATGGATAATAATGATTTCCAGCTTCTAAAGTTAACACGCCCCAACTTTTTAAATTTTCTGTAATACCGTACTTCTCAGAATAGTCTACATAAGTACTTGTGAAGGCATGGTTTATAGGAATCACCTGGGCAACTCAAATAACGCAGAATAGTACGATGATCAAGAGATGATTGAGAGTGATACTTTGATCTGTGATTTTTATCTAGGAGCTAGCCAAGCTGAATAGATGTGATGAGACATCTATTTGCTCTAAAACTGCAACTCAGGATGTCAGAGATCCTCTAGCCACCATCTCATGCCCTTCCCTCCCCTGCTTTTTGGAGCCACTGTGTTCCATGTACCAATGAACGTTGGACCCAAAATTAGGTCTGTCTGTTCCTGTTATAATTAAGTTTCTTTACCCCATTGGACTTTAAGCCCTCTGAAAGTAGGGACCTTGCCTGTCTCCTTCACCATTGTAGTCCTAGTACCTGGTAGCATGCTTGTTACATAATAGGTATATAGTAAATTTTCTGAGTGAAAGAATGGATGACTTAGCTTTTCTGGATATCACTCTGTTTCATAGTGGAGAGTCTACAGAGAACTCCTAGCTTATAACCTGGATCATCTGAAGAAAATGATCTTTCTGGGGTCAGATCATTTCTAAAGTAAACCAAGGAGGCATGTTCTGTCTCATCCGTGTTTGTTCCAACCCTACAGAAGTAATAAGCTATGGAGAGTTGAAATGAGTGGTTCAGTTTGAGCTGGAAGTCCAAATTAGGATTTTTGAGCTTCAGACTGGACTTATTTAAAGAAAGGTGTGGAAGAACATGTCAATAGCTCTATTACTTCATGGGGAATAGGCTGCTTTTATTGATAGCAACTGTAGAAATTAGTGAAGGTGCCATTAGTACTGTCTTCCATTTTAGATCGTCAGCACCACCCTCTGGTAGTTATCAGAATCCTCTCAATTCATCCCTTCCCTCTCCTTTTCATGCCTCTTAAGGTTGACTTCATAGCATCAGTGTCAGTGTCCTTCAGATGGATTTTTCCTAGCCTCCATCTTGAACAGTTTCTCTTTGTGCCTAGCAGTCTGGTGCTTTAAAACAAGTCCTATGCATTTAGGAGTGCCGTGTATAGGGGAAGACACATTGTGATGAAGAATTCACTTTGAAATTGTAACATAGACAACCAGGGGTGTTCTAGTTCCTGACTCCTTCCATGACCAGCCCCATTTCATGCTAAAAGTATAAACTAGAACCAACATTCTAGTTTCTAAAGCTCCTAAATGGGTGGGAAAAAAAGATCAGCCTTTCATGTCCTTGTGATGGTGATAGTTTGTAACTTTCCCTGTTTTTTTCACCATCACAATTCATGTTCATGTTCCCATTTTTCTCCTTTCCCTTTGAGAATGATAGTTTTTTTTTTCTTTCCTCATCAGAACATTTATTTATTGCTGCTGCCAAAAGTGTTTACAGAACTAAAGTTTTATGTTTGGGTGTTTTGCCAGCCATGTGTGGTGGTGCACACCTTTAATCCCAGCAGAGACAGGCATATCTCTGAGATAGAGATCAGCCTGGTCTGCAAAGCTAGTTCCAGGACAGGAAATGAACCTTGTCAAAGAGCCTGCATTAATTTTTTTTGGGGGGGGGGGGGAGATTAACTACAAATATCCCAAAAGTGAGAGACTTCATTTTATAAAGAGGACTAATTGGGTCCAGGCTGTAAAGAGCCCATTGGTTGGACACCTTATTAATAGCTCTTAGATCTGTTACTATTCTCCATTTTCTAGATTTCTTTTTAATGACAATATAGGAGAATTCCAAGGACAGGTCTATTCTTCAATATGTTGAGCATTTATCTGCTCCTGTACCAACTGTTCTAATACCGTAATTTTTATGGGGAACACCAATTCCTGGAACTCCTACATTCTATACTGATGCAAACAAATCAGGAAAGGCAGGTTATAAGTCAGGAATTTTAACTGGCTCAAAGCCCTTATGATTCTTTCAAAGTCAGTCATATGCTAGTCTCATGGTATTATTAGATTTTCCAGAACCTCTCAACATAGTTGCTGATGCTTAATATGCAGAAAAAGTTATTTTACATATTGAAACCGCTGAACTTACTCCAGATGATTCACAATTAACGTTGATATTTACTCAACTATAACAAGTAATCAGAAATAGAAATCATCCCCGATAACACATACCAGATTCCAAACTGGTCTACCAGGCCCTCTAGCACAAGGTAACTGATCAGCTATTGGTTGGAAATGTGCTAGAAGCTTCCGAATTTCGTAAGAAACACCACGTTATAGAAGAAAACCCTATAGAAAAAAATCAAAACAACCCTCAAAAGTGTTTCGCACACAGAGGACTCTGGGGTCCTTGGTGGTTGAAAGTGAATCTGATGCTTCTCACTGGTTGATCTGACTGGTAAATTAAAGACTAAAGCTTGCAACAGTATTGAAGGAGAAACAGATACATATGCTCACTATTATCCACACAGACTGACATGTGATAAGTATCTGAAAGGATCGATAGATATCGATTTACCCTGTGTTGTGGATTAACTATATTTTATTTTTATTGTGTCTTTCTTTTTCAGTGTTTTTGAGATGCTATCTCATTATATAGTCCAAGATGATTTCAAACTCCCTCTTTCCTCAGCCACTCCAGTGCTGGGGTTACAGACATCAATATAATACCAGCCTCAGAAAGAGAAGAACAGACTGCATATACATTTATTAATGTTGTGAAGCTACATTTATTCATTATTTTTTTCTGAGGTTAAAGCCCAGAGCCTTGAGCCTGATTAACAAGTAGTCTACCCACTGAGCTTCAAGCTACTCAGCTCTAAGGCGTGGCACATGAAAGGAGTGAGTGCAAACTGATTTAGCATATAGAAGGTAAAATCTCTGAGCTTGGGGATTAGTGACATATCAAGCAGACGTACCCTATAGTTAATCATACAAACATTTTAAAAGTGTAATTTCTTGGCCTACCCATCAGACCCAACTTACTAGGTATTCCCAGTTTCTGAATCTAGCTCATGACCTGAACCCCCATCCCTTAAAAGAGAGGTGTGTCATTTTGTGAAGGGTCTGGTGCAGGGAGCTCTAGGTATAGGGTTAGAAGTAATATAAGACATATTGACTTCTGGAGGATTGTTTATATTTTAATACTGAATTGGGAGAATTCCAGTTTTCTTCACTTCCCAACTTCTTGAATACTAGTGTGTAGAGAGCTGCGAAGTGCCGCACCCTTAAGATGGCACTGGCTTCCGCCTTCTGCTAGCACGACAGCAGGTGCTCTCTGTGATAAACAACACCTGTATTTGGTTAAGGCTGGATATCAGGCTTGCTTCCATGTACGTGGACCTATCTGCATGTTCCACGTGGCATTCTGGGGTTGGCTGCCCAAGGGCTTTTAAGCTGTGGGTTGGTGCTCCCCAGGAGAAGAAGATTGTTCAAGGTTCCTGAATAAAATGCTTAAAGAAGAGTCTGGGCGTTGCGTTTTCCTTGCTGGTCGAGGTGGGCACGATACCAGTGGGCCTACTAAACACACATCTTTTGAGATATTGGGTGATGCCAGAGGAAAAAATCCTTTAGAATTTGATATTTGACTGAACTCCAGATTATTTGCCCATTCTGCTTGTTAGCCTCATGTGAAGCTTGACCACCACCATATCTCTCTTCACCCCCTCCCAGTGGCTCTTCACAGCAAGTATCCAATGGGAACACATGTCTGAGACTCATTACAGTTAAGAAGGGTCTCTAACATAACAGAACTCAAAACACAGAATCAGTATCACAAACAGGTAAAAAAAATCTTCAAATACTATGTTCTTAGTATGATTTCTAACCAGAAGAGATAAAAAGAGGCTCTGAAAAAATTTACAGAACAGATCAGGAAAAAAGTAATAGCATTACACTTCTCAAAAGCAACATAGGAAAGTGAGCAGGGAATAGCTTTTGGAAAAATTTTGGGAAAAATTGAACCAAGTTTCTTTAGTCGATTTAATTGGAAAAGAGAATGGTGATCTTTTCAGAAAAACAGTCTAAAACCTAATGTGTATTAAGAGGGCCACCTGCCCTGCTTGGTTTTAAAGGGTAGGGCTTGTTTTCTCATCCAGCTAATCTGAGGATAGGTGGTTGCCAACACTGTGTCAGAGGCCTGAATGTCTAAAAAGCAAGTGTGTGAAATTCTTCCATCCCTCTGCGTGTTCTTGTCAACAGGGGGCAGCACAGCCTCAGGCATCAATCACATCCACAGGGAGTTAAGGTTTTCTTTTGCAGTGTAACAGCTGATCATACACACTTAGTTACTTCAGCTAATGCCCAGCTATCTCCCATCTCTGCAGGCTTGACTAGATTTCCTGCTTACTGGCTGTGAAGCCAACTTGAAGATGCCCAGGGATACAGCACCAGGGTAAATGACCAGAAAATTAACTTGGGAGGAAGGAAAAGACTGTGATCTTCATGTGCCACAGGCTGCACACCCACCCCTCACAGGCTCTGGT